GCAATAGGTATCACAATGCCACAGCTGATTTTTTTTATGTATACCTAACTAAATCTAAATAAAAGTGCGATGTTATTTTGTTTAATTAATTACAGATTTGGATTCAGTTGAAAAAAATACACAATTATACGTATATACATAAGTACACTCTTTTTCATACTGCAAATAAAAAATACAAGCCAACAATTGCTTTTAGCAGGTTTTAGATTACGTAGATCACGTGCTGTTTCTCAAATAGCACCTAGGTACCTACCTTGATGATCCTGATGTTGGTTATCAGCCAGTTTCATGGTATAATGCATCTTATAGGTAGGTATCTACTTAAATTAATTAAGTCACTTCATTTTTGGAGTGTTATGAGAGAAATTTAGAACATATACAGTGTATTTTAAGTTTTAACTTAAGCCGGCACTGTAATAATATTATTTGTATCATTGGAGCTACGAAGTCCACTAAGTTACCAGATATGCAGAATTTGTTCTTACTGGTTACCTACAAGTAGAAAATTTAATTCAGTAGATACTGGGTATTAACCAAGGTAGGTACCTATTAACAGAAGTACCTATTCAACAACACTTTTTTAAGAATAGAATAAACTGTAGATATATCTCGGCATATTTGGAAAGGAAACCAAATTCTGAATAAAAATCTTTAACACTAGGTAATCATCATTCTCAATTAAATTACCTAACTTTTCTATATGTAGGTAAATTAATGCCATCAATAAAAAAATATGAAAAAGGAGTACCTACTTATACTAGATACGTACATAATTGTTTTTTAAATTTCCACTCATTCATAAGCATATATCTACTTTACAAAATATTCTGTGAGTAAGATACCTATGACATACCTAAGTACTAAGTATAAGTAGGTACACCTACTGATAGTAAGTACCTACTTGTTATGTACGTATACCTATAACTGTTGCCACACAAAAGTAAAACGCTAATACCTACAGTTTAGTAATTTCACGCAGAAAATAATAATTATACGGATTAGAATATTTAATTAATTAAAAATGTGCTCACATATAGATAGGTTTACCTACTTACCTCAAAAACCACACTCGCATCGTTTATTAAGAGTTGCTTTATAAAGGTTAAAAGCTTGGCGAATTATTATTTATTAATATGCCCAGAATTAGAATTAAAAAAATTCATGCAGAATTTAATTTAAATGTAGGTAATTAATCAGCGTTTTGCGGGTGTAATACTGTGTTTGAGTTCCGTGTACCTATATCTATCTAAAGGTATGGTACCTATGTACGTCATATACATTTTTTTCGAAGGTACCTACCTACGTAGGTACCTACGTAAAAAAGTGTAATCATACCGTCGAATGAACAAAGTGCATTAGGTACCTTTAGTCGTAATTAGTAATTGATAAAGGTTTATAGATACATTTCAAACGCCTTTACAATAACAATTGCCAGATCAAGTGGAAGAAAATCTGCCTAATTTAGTTTTAAAACTGCATTGGTTAATAGCGAAGAATAATTAGGTAATGGAATGCTGGGTGATCGTAAAAAATGCACAATATGCATTCCATAAGTGCAAGTTGAATTATTATGACTACGTACATCATAAATCAATATTGAGGTACAGTTAACAATTTTATGTCGTATAAAACAGCTCAACACAGCTTTACCATAACGATGTGTTTATTGCCCCCTACTATTTACCCCTACGTAAGGGAAACGAGGAGAACTTACGAAAAAAGGGGGGTTATCAATACGTAGTGGGGGGTGACATAAAGTAGGAGAGGTTTGTAGGAGAAACAAAAAAGTGGGCGTGATATTTATTTTTCTTACAAGACATGCGCCGATTTTACAGCAGCTAGCGACTTTCGGCAGGCACACGAAACAAAATGGTTGCCGAAAGTGCCTAGGCATGTTAGTAGATGGCGCCGTCTACTTCACTTTCCTCCTGAATGCTTGATTAGAGAGACATTAAAATTATTACCGAAGAAACAGCTGTAATTTTTACCGTTTTTATTAGCCAGTAAAGAAGCGAGCACGCCGAGAATTTTACGTATCTCAGATGCTCCCCATAATGATTACACCCATGGGTTGGGGCGAAAAATTGTGATATTAAATGATTTTGTTTTGAGGAGTGTTTTAGCTTAATTTGGAAATAAAAGAGGTGTAAACTTTTAATAAAACTTCCGAAAGTATGAAAACCTGTAAGATTTATACCCGAAATTTCAATTTATGGGTGAAACTTTTCTTGTAGCTTTAATTCTTTCACAGCGCCGAAAGTATAATATTTTAAAACGATTACCGAAAACATTTTTACAATTCATTGCATTTGCATGCCAAATTGAAATATGCCGTTCAACATTCGCTACGGCCATTTTAACATATTAGTTCATCGCAATTCTTTATATCAGCCCCATCATGACAAATATTAGTAATAAAATGGGTTTACATTAGCGGAAATAAAAAATAAATCAAAATATATTGTAATTTATGTATCTAAAGCTGAATACGCGTCGTAGCCACTTCCGGTCCATTTGCAGCGCCGGGACGACCATGACGCCGCGTATTTCATCTTCGACATTCGTCGCGGATCAACTATCTCTCCACCGCCAAGCTTTTTATATGCATTTTATGTCTGCAAGAGATCTTCTTGTTGTTGAAGGACCGAAAAGTAATGGTCCGTGATATATTTTTACGAAAATTGAAACGTAAAGATTTTTACTGCCTATAAATTTATTACCCACTATATAAACACTCGATTTGTTTATATACCTACCTGCTATTTAATAGTAAAGTAGATAAGTAGTTTTTAATTACCTATAGGTATATCCTATATCTTCTAGATATTTAGGTATACGTACCTACCTTCAATTGGAAAACATAAATGCGGTTCATTTAATTTTTTCTTCCATTACCTCTTGTAATTACCTATTCGGTGTAACTCGATTTGAAAAAAAAACTAGAATTTAAAATTTCGTAGTGTATACCTATTTAGGCAAAAAACTTGAGACAAAGCAACGTGAAAATCGATTGTTCCCTACACAGCTGAGCTATGCAAATCAGCTCGGTCGTGCTCTGGATTTTATGCACTGCCTACCTCCGTTCCAAGCCGAACTAACCATTTACATGTTATATAACACTCCACCAAAAGGCAAAAACATTTAGCTAGTTTCATCGTCTTAATTCTTCGATATGTGCGCAATTTCCATTAATTTACATTTGTTGCCGATTTAGTACAGCAAATTAAATGATTGTGGTGATTTTTATGTACTTAGATATAAATTAGAAAGGTCGCATTTTCTTCATTTCCGCGGCAAACTGAATGTGGGTGCCTCATTAAAGGGTTTTTATATACATAGGTAAGTGTTTATAGAGACTTGAAGATATAATCATTTCACATCCTTATCCGACGGAAAACTATGTGATATACATATACCTATCTTTAATTGATCATTTAAACAACGAAGAAAAAGGCTTAGAAATAACATTAGGTAGGTATCCTTTATATCCGTAGGTATATACTAAAACTAGTTGTTTGCTGGAAAGCTTCATTACGACACATGAAAATAGTAGGTATAGGTAGGTACCTACTTAGGTATTATATTTTTATTGACATGACAATTGACATCTGTGATAGCCAGAAAAGCTTACCTATCTATTGACTGCATACCTTACCATACCATTACTTAGATTTCCAGGGTAGAAAATATCGAAAATTGTAGAGGTACCTCCTACATCTATATAGTAAATTTGTCATAATAACTTTAGGATGGCCATGGCTTATTATAGGTAACCAACATATACCTAAAGTGGGTATAGGTAGTGTGTGAGAATTGTAAATATATAGGTAGATATTATAGGTACCTATAGGTACACTTTATTATGTAATTTAGGTACCATAAATATTCACAGACTAATTTTTAATAGGTATAACTGCTTGTTCCGAGTTATTTTTGTTATTTTAATTGGAAACATGCAAGACTTTATGCTGTATTGGACGTCATGGCCGTGCGAGGTCGTTTTGCTTATCGAATATCGAATACCTGCGTGGCAAAAAAGGCTACGATAAATTATGAGGTTTATGTGGAAACACGATTGACTGCTTGATGAAGGCACGTAAAGCAAAACGACTGAACTCATGGCAAATAAAAATTGCGCTGTTGCAGGACAATTGCAAATCGCAAACCGTACAGCTTCACATACTTACCGCATCCAGTCTACAGCCACCGATTCATCACCATGCGGTTTCTTTTTGTTGAAATATCTAAAAAAATACACAAGGGCCTCAAATTTGCTGCATATGATGGCCTGTAGCACATGGTTACAATTAGACCGTACTCCCTTTCCAGCATCCTTAGGTTTATCTCAATTGTGGGATGGTTTGAGCGGCCGGACGACTCTAGTCAAGGAGATGGTACAAAGGGTCTACATTGGAGCCCTACGTGCACGTGGACCCTGGTCAACCCTCCTATAGTAGTCCATAATCCCAGAATATGCAGAAAATTAAACACCCTCGTAGGTATAGGTATTTGGTTTATAAAAATACCAAACGTAGAGAGAGAAATATATGACATTAAGCTAAGTTGATCTTAGGAACAGAAATCACTTGGAATAAGTTCTATAATAATTATTTTGTAACGTTATTTTTTTACCGATTGATATTCCTTATTCACCTTCCATTTAGGTAACCTTCGATTCCATTTGAGTGACCTCTTGCTCTCGTGTATATTTAAATGCAGTATTCTTATGGTATCTAGGTAGGTATTTACTTTGTAATCAACTAGTTTAAATGTAAGTTCTGTTGTTCCTGTAGTAAATTTGTTCTAAGTGTTATAGATTTCCTATTATACCTATTAGTTCTTTGTTTCGCTGACCGAGGTCGTGCAAATGCTTACATGCAAATTTGTCTCTTGGTACGCATGCTATTACTTTTAGTGACTTTTAGTTTTCTTGAATTGAACGTCACGTTTATGTTTTTAACCAGATGTTGTAAGTATAATCCGTGGTCGATCTAATTTTTGCTTTCGCTAGTGTAAAGTCATTCCAATTATTGATTCTTATTGAATATTAATTACACGTTTAGTATACGATTGTCCCAGTGTCAGACGTTAGAATTGCTTACGCATTATTTTATGTTCCGCGCTATTCATTACCGCTTTTATTTATTGTCTTTTACAGATTAAGCTGAACGCGCCCTTTTGAGCTCACAAGGTTGGGATCCGAAGTTCAAAAGTAAATTTTTATTTTCGACGACTCCTATAATACCCCGAATTAGGTTTTCCTGCAGTTTTCCTAATTCGTAAGGTAAATACCGGAGTAGTATAGAACCACTTAAGACCTTCTGCAGGGGCACCTCTAAAAAGCATAATGCGGGTCATTCTGTAATTGGGCGCAAGCCTGTTGAAGGCCCAGAACAAGAGAGGGTTGATAAATAAATAAATAAATAAATAAATAAATAAATTACATACTGGTTTTTGATACGATCGAATTGTATTGTAATTATTACATTTGCTTGATATTCACTTAACGAGTATATCTCTGTTGTTTTTGCGGAAACCTCTTTTTGATATTAATACTTTCTACGACTATGTGTTGATCTCTTTTTTTTTTAATAAAAATTGATTTAACTTTAAATATTGACATTGCAGACCTATATGTTACAGTCGATTGTGGCCTCAATTATTGTTAATGTTCTATCCCTATCAAGTATATTATTTCTTCTTGTCAAGATCAGAACAACGAATTAGTCGCCTGTTTCCCCCTACTGGTTAGTATACTCCCCTTTCTTTTGAAATTTTTACTAAAGACTAAGTGGCCCCTATCCGATTTACTATAATACTACTTTTCCCTTTTGGCTTATTTATGTTAGTGTACAAGAACCCCGATATTCACTCCGACCCACCCCTCCATTGCCTTAGCTTACCGTGTGCCAATCTCAAGGTAATTTTGTTACCTTTTTCCTACTAAAACTTTTTATACCGGATGTGATATTATTTAAAAATAAAAAATTTCAAAAGCTAAGTGAAGAATTCTTTAATTTTTAACCACTCTCGTAAAGAAAATTTTCACGGTCCATCACCGCCAACAGGTAGCTTTTTCGTTTGGTGGCTTGACTAATAATAGTCTTACTTTTCTTCTCCCTGGCACTTTTCTACATAAGTATTTTTTTGGCAAAACGATGCGTTTTTCTCCAGCAAAGGAAATGAATAAGCGAAATATTTAGCATTGTAAATTTTTATCTTCACTACAACTACCTACCTTTGCCGTACAGAAATAAAATGCGCTTAACTCTTTTGCAAAGTTACTGAATTCAAATAAAAGCTAGAACAACAAATTTTGGAACACTCACTCACAGAGACTTGCTATAACTAGACTGCGCTTAACCTTTGAATAATATTCAAAGGCTTAACGTATCTAAGGTGTTGTCGACACAGTATGCAACACACAATGCACCGCGGGGCAAAAATCGCTGAGATGATTTATGCAATATAATGAAATAAGCTGTTATTTTAGATGTTCCGTTCATTAATCATTCTCGTGATTAGCATTAGCTCGAATTAGTGAACAGATAAATTTCTGTTGAGAATAAACCAATAAACTTAGGTTAACTTGTGCGTATCAACATGTACTCTGTCGATACATTTTTAAATAATATGCTGATTTTCAACGGATAAAAGTTTAAAGGGCCAATGGATCAGAGCCATTCGAAGAGGAAAATTTGCTCCCACCATAGTGGATTTGCGGGGAATGAAGCCGATTTTAGAAAGGTACCTACGAAGGTGTTAAACAATAATGCAATACCGAGCGTTTTCGACTTTCCCATTCACTTAAAATAACGTAGAACTATTATTCGACATCCTTTACCAGCAAGACAACGGCAATACCTATTTGCCTATTAGGTATAGACGTGACTAAGTACTTACTGGTACTAAGTATATTTCAGGTTTTGTTACAAGAAAAATAGCTAAGTCTGTTAAATGTTCCATATGTGCAGATGCGATATTCGCATCAGAGAGTCATTCAAAGCTTTTAACTAGAAAAAATCGTGGAGGATTGTTGCACGTATCAAGCGATGCATTAAAAATTTGCCAAATTGCTGAAAATGTGTTCAGGTTTTTCATTCAATCCACACCACACCGCGTTGTAAACAAAATGGTTATCAGCAGTCTAAGAAAAATAAATAACAGTTACAGCCCATTTGGGTTTTTGGATAGGCATTATATTGAATCAAAATCCGCTAAATAATCATATCTTACTACTTACATCTTTAGTTTTAAGAGTATATTTTCCCATACGTGTTCACCACCAAAATACACATATAAATCAAATTAGGACTAGAGTAAGGCAGTTATATACCAATTTAGTTCAAATAAAATACCAATAAATTCGATTAAAACAGTTAACAGCTATATGTTATCTTTTTTTGCTACTAAAATTTAGGATAACTGAAGCAAGCTACAGAAAGTACGTCTGCCCCGCAATGAACAGTTGGTTGCCTATCCTATCTTGACAACAGGCGTTCATAGAAAAATCTACGTTACGCGCGGTCTAGTTATAACAAGTCTCTGGAGTTGACTGATTAATACAGAATAACAATTTCATGCTATATTACTTAACCGTGTACTTAGCGTGTGTGCCGCTTTATACGAAACGTTGCTGCAAGGTACAACTTTGCGATTAAATGACCTTCCCCCCAACTCCGCTCGAGGTGTTGCGTTTATCTCTTTCGCTCAAAATATATTAATTCCTGCAGCCCTTCACATTTTTTTGTCATTGATTCTATTCCGTGATCATATCATTTGTAATTGTCCTTTATCGATATGAACAAAACTTTTTAAAGTGTATCTTATAATAAGCGAATAAACGCGTCTGTCATTTTATCGCTGTAACGTTTGCGTAATTATACAGAAATGCATAAAAATGTATCGACGTATAGTTAAAGGTGTATTCTATCACATACGTAAAACATTATCCCATTTGAGTGAATACTTTTTTTGTAATTAAATCCTAAAGTTCTGAGTTCGTATACTTTCATTGAAAAAGCGCGCTTTCCCGTACATATTTCACTATCACATTTTCCCAAATTTAACAAGAAATATGACATTACGTACGGCAAACGTAGAAATAGTTGACGATTATATTACGCTTTATTTAATAAAAATCGGTTGGGTAGTTTTTTTTTTTATAACCGTTTAAAGCCAGCGGACTCTACATTTTACTCCGATAGTAGTTTACCATGTGAAAGCGCTAAAACTGTGCATTCGAATTCAAAGTTTTCAACATTTTTTTGGTCATGCACATATCCCATATGTCCGTTATTTTTCTTTTTTATATAACCACACTGTACAGTACATAAATACAAAAAAGTTTCATACTTTTCTTTACTTACCTCATACTTGTCTTGAATCTTATTATCTAAATATGTTTTGATCCGCAAATCTCCAGTATCTGGATTTATAATAAATTCATCAGTCATTTGAACATTTTCATCATTCAGTTTAAAATGGTATGTAACTCGACCATTTTCACCATTATCTTTATCAGCAGCTTTCACAGTCATTACTAGATAATCAGCGATGGGAGTCTGAAAGGCAGAATTACTTTTCAAAAAACCAAACGGTCTCATTTGCTTTACATCTGTAATTTCGATAACTGATCTGGTAGACATCGGATGTATGAAGTTTGGCTTGTGATCGTTAACGTTCACAACTTTAATGTTAACAATGCATGTATCGGTTAACGGTTGATTGCCTCCATCGCGTGCTTCAACCAGTAAACTAAACGTTCCTGTTCTTCCTGCTAATGATTTGTGAACATATAAAATTCCTGTATCCTCGCCCAATAAGAAAATATCTGCAACAAATGTTTGTAACACAATTCGTATTTATTTAACTATGGTGAATACCATCATCATTTCCGGAATGGATTGTATAAATAACATTTCCGTTAATTCCAGCATCGTCATCCGTGGCAAAAACTTGTGTGATTTTGAATGGTGGATTAAACCTCACATTTTCGCTAACGGTGGTGTTATAAATTGATTGATTAAATTCTGGCGCATTGTCGTTTATGTCTGCTACCGCGATATATACAGGTACGGATTTTGTCCGTCTTAAATTTCCAACTCCACCATCACTTGCCATAACTTGAATAACAGTTTCATTTAACATCTCGTGGTCCAAAAACAATGGGTTTTTAACTGATATTTCTCCAGAATGTGAAGATATCTCAAAATTTTCGCTATGTTCACCGAGCAAACTATACGAGACAACTCCATATTCATCGGCATCTGAATCGTCTGCGTGCACTGTTACAATATATGTTCCATTGGGCGAATTTTCGTCCACAGTGGCATTGTAAGAGGTTTCCGAAAATATTGGAGAGTTATCATTAATATTAAGAACCGTTATGTCTATGAATGCTGACGTATTCAGTTGAGGAATACCAGAGTCATATGCATATATTGTAAAATTTAATTTTGTAATCATTTCATAGTCGATCATCTTTTGCAACTGAACAATTCCTGAAAAAACAAACACACTGATTTATCAAGAAATCAAATGCATTTTTTACCTGTTCCGTTATTAATTTCGAAATACATATTTGGTTCTATTGAGTAGCCTGCAATGGGAGAGTCATCATCAACAGCTGTAAATGTTCCTACTATTGTTCCGACAGGTAATTCCTCTTCCAACTGCAAATTGTACTGGGGCATTTCCTTTGTCCAAGGAGGAAGAAATATTGGTGGATGATCATTTATGTCAATTATATTAATTGACAAGATACCTACAAACATTAAATTACGAGAAAAGGCTCTGTACTAAATAGCCGTGAGCAGTAGTGAAGGCAATACAGAATCTTAGTTTGTTCATGCAATAATTAAATAAATAATTAAAATTTATAAACAAAGCTTTCTACATATGTCTTATAAGATCTTCAATCTATTACCATTGAGAGTAAGAAACCTAAGACATAGTTACATTGAAATATAAATTAAAGACTTTCCTTTTACAGAAAGTCTTTTATAGTGTCTATGAATTCGAAATTTGTGATTTAAGTGCTATTTAAATAATATGTTTTCCTTATTTGACTTTTGTAAATGCACAATTCTAAGCATGTTAACAGCAATAAACATTATTATTATTAATTACTTTAAAGAATTAATCATCTGGAGCAACACAAAAGGAGGAAGTATGTCGAAATTCCCGGTGTAAAACAATCTAAAGATGAATCGGCAGAGGAAAAGTTTCAGAAGATTTTTGAAGAAATAGGGTGCGCGGCTTATAAATCGGTTGGCCAAGTGTCTCTAAAAAAAAGGCGACTTTCGACTGGTTAAGTTAAAAAGTGAGGAGGATAAAGCTAATTTTCTACGCAGCGGTCGACAGTGGTCGCGTATTGTATCGGTCAAAGAAAAGGAGTCAAACGGAATGCTATATTTTAATGAAAACTTAACGCATGAAAATCGGACAATCTTTACAGAGGCGCGAAAAAGGGCGTTTTCATTAAAATATAAATTTGTTTGGACAAAAAAAAGAACGAATACTAGCCAAACGAGAAGAAAATTCAAACGCGATACGTGTGCAATCGGTCAGTGATATCCACAAATACATTACGTAGTTGCATCTGTACTCTCCATAAGTTAACGCGATAACGGATTAAGTTTGTTGGATCTGTAATCATTAGATTAGAATTCTTTTTAGTGGTTTATTTACATTACAATTTATCAATTTACTTTACGATATTTAATTTTATTATGGAAACTTTTGATTTTTGTATTATACGCTCATCGAATCTTTAGACACATTTCATCTGTTTAATGTTTATATGTACTGTAAACATTTTGGGTATAATTACAGAAGTGAAATCATTTCTTCAGGATGTTAAAATTACTTTTATTTTATTTATGGTGGAATATGAGATAAATATTTGCAAAATTAAGTTAATTAAGTTAAGAAGAACTAAAAATCCGAACTCTAGAGTGACGCAAACGTTCAAACAGTAAAGAATTGTTACTTATATTGTAACGGAAATGCTCCAGACATGACGTCGCCTTTGGCGCTCTGGAATTTTCTACGCGCGCGATAGTAGGAACATTCGAGAATGTTCGGGACTTACATTGCTTGCGTGTATAAATGGTTGCGGACCGAACATCGCGGCAGTCTACTACCGAACGAGTACGTAAACATCGAGCACGAAAAGATAAATTGCGAAGTGTGAGTGATATAAATAATCGATATAAATTTGTGAGTGATATAAATAATCGATATAAATTGTACGGATTTTATAGTGTTTTAGTTCTGTTTAATAAATATTGATATAAATCGAACCCGAATTTAATAAATCACGTTACAATATGATAAATCTTTGTAAATAATTTTTTATTATACCTGAATCACAATCTCCGTTTTAAACACTCAAATGCGTGCGAAAAAGGGCCTTTAAAACACACCTGCTTTAAAGTTGCTAAGTAACGATACTTCAAGTATGACTTTTGAAACTGTCATCTGGATGAAATAAAAAATCCTCTTAGGTCGCTTTCTGTAAATGCAGAACATTTCTTTGGCTTTTGTACCTATCCTTTGGTAAAACGCGCGTAATTTAGGGTATGCTTCCAAATCTGTTCCACTTTTTAATCGCAGCATTGCTTTAAAGTTTTGAATGAATGCACTAAAAGATAGAAGATTTAAATACCTTTGACAGTTCGGTCATATATGCCAGCATTATCGATGCATTTAAGACTTTATTATTCGTAAGTAACTTCCTATTCATCCATGGAAACAACTTTTCATATTCCTGATAATAGGTTTTACTGGATTTGGATTTTAAACCTACCAACGTTTGTTTAGATTTTACAACAAGCGATTTAATGGACGGTGTATTATCTTTTTCAACGGAAATCGTTTTATTCACAAAGACGATGATTTTTTAAGCAAACGTCAAGTGACATTTCCATGGCAATCGTGAAATTTCGAACACCCAGCCCACTTAATTAAACATGTATTCGAGTATAACGTCAATATGATGTCATTGTATTTCCTATTTTTAAATTATGCTGCAGGTATAATAAAAAATACTATCGGGCGATCAAAAATGAGTGACTGTCGAGTCGCCTTTGAAAGTTGAAGTTAAGTACGATTTCCCATGTAAACAAAAATTCCAAAGGTGACTCGACGGTCACTCATTTTTGATCGCAATGTATAAGATACACGTGTATAATTGGTCTTTAAAGCACTTGCAACGTTAAAGGCACTCCGCTTTGCGTCGTGCCCTTAAACTCGTTGCGCGTGCTTTAAAGACTTTATTATACACTTGTATCTTAATATACTATTTTATTATACCTGAATCACAATCTCCGTTTTAAACACTCAAATGCGTGCGAAAAAGGGCCTTTAAAACACACGTGCTTTAAAGTTGCTAAGTAACGGTACTTCAAGTATGACTTTTGAAACTGTCATCTGGATGAAATAAAAAATCCTCGCTTTCTGTAAATGCAGAACATTTCTTTGGCTTTTGTACCTATCCTTTGGTTGAAGCTTTCACAAACGCGCGTAATTTAGGGTATGCTTCCAAATCTGTTCCACTTTTTAATCGCAACATTGCTTGAAAGTTTTGAATGAATGCACCAAAATATAGAAGATTTAAATACCTTTGACATTTCCTTCATATATGCCAGCATTATGGATGCATTTAAGACTGTATTGTATTCGTAAGTAACTTCCTATTCATCCATGGAAAGAACTTTTCATATTCTTTATAATAGGCTTTGCTGGAGTTGGGTTTTACACCTACCAACGTTTGTTTAGATTTTACAACAATCGATTTAATGGACGGTGTATTATCTTTTTCAACGGAAATCGTTTAATTCACAAAGACGATGATTTTTATAAGTAAACGTCAAGTGACATTTCCATGACAATCGTGAAATTGCGAACACCCAGCCCACTTAATTAGACATGTATATTTGAGTATAACGTCAATATGACTTCATTGTATTTCCTATTTTTAAATTATACTGCAGGTATAATAAATAGTATATTAAGTATGGAGAACGGTAAGGGATTTTTACCGTTCGAAGACAATTGTTTGGAGGAGGAGCGAAGCGACGACTCCAATTATTGTCTGAGAACGGTACCCTTAACGTTCGACGTGCTTATAACATTTTTTGCGCGATCGAAATTAAAATTATGCAACCAATATAAATATGCACTAAGAAATTAACGAGCAGAATAAATCGAAATGATCGAAGTGGTATGGTGTATATCACTAGGCAACCAGTTTAAATGTCAAAATTGAAATTAATAATTTCATAAAAATGTGCATGTGTCTGATGTAGTTTACTAGCTTTGCACTTCCTTTATGACTTTATTAGCGTCTTGCTATAGGAAAAACAGCACAAATTGTACGTTTAATTTACCTAACAATAATTAAAGATTAAATGTAATGTAAGACTGTTGATTTTTAAAAAGGCGTCGGTAAGTATTTTTGCTGTTCTGTTTTTAGATCGGTAAGTAATTTTGGCGTCGTCGTAATCATAGTAACTGGTAAATTCTACGTACTGTCATGGAAACACCCATGGTAAATAGTCAGAAATGACCGATCGCGCAAAAAAATACTATAAGATACACGTGTATAATTGGTCTTTAAAGCACGTGCAACGTTAAAGGCACTCCGCTTTGCGTCGTGCCCTTAAACTCGTTGCGCGTGCTTTAAAGACTTGATTATACACTTGTATCTTAATATACTATTATTGTACTATACCTATTTGATTTCGATATTTAATCTCGATTTGACGTTGCAGGTAAAAGTGGCAAAGTTCCACCTGATATACGAGGCTAGAAAACGTAGCCAGCGCCAGGTTAGCTGTTTTTGACGTCACTTGTTGGATCGCCATCGGCGACTTGTACATTTCACTATGTTTTTGATGTTAAAACGAGTCAGTTTCGCTAAATTTCTGTGGTCTTTCGACCATTCAATCGAAGATTGCTGTGAACGGGATGTAAGGTTGGAAGGAGGCTTTCAATGTGATAATAGTGCCTTTTTCGCCTTTATGTATGTATATTAGGTGTTTCAAGATAGGGGTATATTAAATAAACTGAATTACGTTTCTGATTCCTTGAACAATCGTTTATATCGTATTTATATGCGCATAAGACATTGGGGTAAATTATAATTCAATTTATCATTAAAATATTGACTGGAATTGTGTACATATTGATTTAGATTTAGATTAGAGCTTTCAGTTAGGAAAATTACATGGAAAAAACTGCAACATATAACGTTTGCATCATATGTAGGTATATGTATTACCTGCATTTAACAATATTTATTGTTGTAAAGATATAATTCAAGTAACATATCGATTTTGATTAAGTATTTATATTTTATAATTTGTGTTTTATCTAAGCATTAACTGTCACAATTTTTCTTGTCATAAATCTACTGAAATTATTCAATACCACACTATTTGTTTACAGATCTTGTATAGACAAAGCAAAAATGTTGCCGGGGGGGGGGGGGGCGAATACCCAAGCAAAATTAAACTTGCAAAGTCATCATTTTAAACACTGAATGACTGTCACGTGGCAAAAGGGAGGGGAGGAGATCATGCGAGAACTCGCACATCGGGGAGCGCGTGGCCCGGGCTCAATCACCCCGGCACCTCTATCAAACGACGTTTGCATATTTGGTTTGTGACTAATGACTAGCTCGTCTCAATGAGAATCTCGTTCGTACGTTTTTAAATTAATCAATAATTGTGAACATATTGCGCGGGTAATCAGACAGATATTTTAGGTACGTATATATCTGTACATTATTATATTATTTTCATTCAACCAAAACTTTTACTTACTTTAGCAAGAGTAGGCCGCTTCACTTGCTCCACCCTAAGGACGGCTCTGAACGAGATGGTATCAAACATCAACATCATTGGCGTAATCAATGTGGAGGTAACAGTTTCCAACCTGTTTTTCTATTTATTATTTATTTTATTTATTTATCCCTCTCTTGTTCTGGGTTCTCAACAGGCGTTCGCCCAATTACGGAGTGACCCGCTTAATGCTTTTTAGAGGTGCCTCTGCAGAAGGTCTTAAGTTGTTCTATACTACTCCGGTATTTACCTTACGAATTAGGAAAACTGCAGGAAAACCTAATTTGGAGTAGCCGGCAGAATGCTCGAAACTGGTCTAAGGCATCGGGTGCCCAGTTGTCGGACGAAAACACGTCGTGCCGCGCATGACGTCACTGGAGTTACATCTGGCGCGTAAGCCCATAAAGATTCAATGGTGGGCCTCGTTTTCGAAGAATAATCTGCATTGTGGTGCTATTATATTTATCGTACGTACAGGAATATGTGTAGTTGATAGTCCTGCATTGCAAACACTCGAGTTTTTGCTACTATTAATAGCGAATACCTTTCATTTCCGCTTTTATTACACCGCGTGGATACCGAATAAACATTTAAACGATAATGCCTGGTTGCGCGAGTGCAAAATGTAATAATTATTTACGAAAAACGAAGGGTTAAGATGTTAAATAATTCGGAAGTGAAGATACGTATGAGAAAAAATTTATAGACTAAACATAAAATTGGGGCATCCGTTATCATACGAGGAGTCGCTTCCATTCACGTACACGCGCTTGGCGCACCACATGAACAATACCTCTACCTACATTTTATCTGCTTTGCATTTCATTGTAACGTTTTTGTGAGAGCTTGCATTTGTGTATGTAATATTATATATAAACCTAAATTTTGCCGACAGATACACAAATAATAGTGCGTTTCCGTAACCTCTTCCGTATGCATTTATATACGCACGCCGGAGTTTCTTACGCGATTGACGTCATACGGCGTGGGGAAAGGGGACACGATGCGCGTTGCGATACCGTTTTTATTATACCATGGTCTAAGGTAATTCCGATCTCTGCCACAGATGAAACATTCACCTCAATCCAGGTTCGAACACCTGACCTCCGGATTTATAGCCCAACGCTCTACCATTGAATCATAAAGTCAGTGAAACACCATTCAATGTCTCCTTCTACCCTCACTGTCACAAAAAGTTGCCGATTTTTGTGTTCAGTACCCACTTGTGAATGTTCATAGTTTCCAGGATCATATTCATTTAAGGGAATTCTCTCTTCCACTTCTAGATCTGATCTTATAGTAGGTACCACCAGTACAAGTTAGTATTTTGTGGGGGACAGACAGATTGCTTATACCAAGCATCCTACTATCTAAAGATCGTTATTTGCATGTACCCAATTTGTTATGGATCTGTCTTGAAGGCTGCTAAAGTAGTATCGCAACTGTAAACGCCTGTAGAACTAGGTTAATAGAGATTACGTCAAAAACCTGATTGTAATACCCAAAGCCTTAAACCGACACAGAGTCATAGTGGTCGGTACAGAAAGAGCTTGAAGTCTTAAAATTTCAAGCTCTTTCTAAACCTTATTGTAGCGAGTAGCTGAAGCATCCGACATCGGAGCGCCAGCAGCCACAATAAAAAATTAGTCACCGGCGATAAGGAACGAGGAATGCGATGTGCCGACTTCGCAGGTATTCGAGAAATCTCGAGAATGTCCGGGATCTTTCCAGAAACTTTCAACAAGCAAATCGATTGTGTTTAATGGAAGTTGCAACATCGACGCGGGAGTGATAAATAGTTCGCGTTCGTGTTATGTTATAAATTTGAGTACAAGTGAGTGATAAATAATAATTAACTGTTAAAAATCAATATGTACTGATATAAATTCATTAATAATTAATTGTAAATAAATAAATCACGCAATTAAATTTATGTTTCATTGCTTTTGACCTAATAATTAATTAACTTAAAATATACATCCCCAATCAAATGATACAATAGTATAAATTAAGAAGATATAAATACAGTACATACCTTCACCATGTTGTGGATTTGCAGCTGTGACATCTGTGACTCGAACAGTGAGCTGCACAGTAGCGGCGACATCTCGATTCAGAATACTTTGCACTGAAACATTGCCAGTACTTTTGTCTACCGAGAAAAAATATCTGTATGATTCATTGGCCGCGGGCTCCCCATATTTATTTGTTCCTACTATGGGTTCTATAATTTCATAATTTAAAGCATCTGGGGAACTTATATCAGGATCAAATGCGGAAAGAGAGTGCACCACAGTTCCTAATTTGGCATCTTTCATAATCTAGAAATATTATTTATGAAATACCTAAAATTGCATAATGGAAATTTACCTCAGCTTTCTGGTTGGTTGGAACAAAGTAAGGTGACTTGTCGTTAACATTAATGATGTGAATTGTTAAATTGTTTGTGCTACTCAAGCTCACTACCCCTCCATCAGCAGCAACAATTTCTATATGATATATATGCTGTCTGTCGTAATCTAGTTTGTTAGCAACACGAATTACCCCTGTTTCGTTTTCAATTGTAAAATCAGTTAGTGCACCCTTCTTTAAATAGTAACTAATTTCAGCATTTGTCCCAGCATCTTCATCAGTTGCATGTAGTTGAACCACGCTTGTACCTAAACAATGCTTTCAATTAAGTTTCATCAAACAGCAAATTCTCACCTATATAAATGTCTTCAGGAACAGAAATGTTATAACTGCCTTGTTCAAACATCGGAGCATGATCATTGATATCGTTAACATTGATGTTAACAACAGTAATACTTGTAAACTTGCCATCAGTTGCCTAAAATATTGCGAAGGTGTAAGAAACAGGACAACAAAAATCTCAGTCTCACCTCAATCGTTAATGGTATATTATTTTCTGTTACATCATTACTAAACGTAATTACTTGATTACTTGCAATTCTAATTTTACCACTATTAGAATCGATATTAAACAAACCATTTTCATTGCCAGCGATAATGGAATAGGTTACGTGAGACGTCTTATCAATGTCTTTCGCTTCTACAACCAAATCTGGATCAAATTTAGCCGCTCCTTCGCTTATAGAAATATTGTACAAGGATGAATTAAACATGGGAGCGTTATCATTACTATCAATCAGGACAATTTTCAGTGGAACTTGTGTTGTATGCCCTTTCCCTTCATTATCAGTTGCCTTAAAATGAAAAATTTAAACTAACCGAATGGTTGTAGCCACTGCTTACGTTATAATAGAGAATGTATTCTGGTTTAGTCTCGTAATCTAAACAGCCCACAGCACCGGGCTCAGAACATTCCGCAACGGTTATGACACCTGTGCGGTTATTAACTTCAAATCTTTCCGAACCTAGGCCGCTCAGTGTGTAAATAATACCAAGATCGCCGAATTTACTGCTATCCCGATCTTTAGCGAGAATTGTTGTTACCACAGTTCCAGACGATGCAACTTCTGACACAATGGCAGAGTAGGACTTTTGTTCAAATGTAGGCGAGTTATCATTTGCATCGGTCACTGTAATTGTAATGGTAGCTGTTGATGACAACTTTGGATCCGTATAAATCTCTCTGGCAATTACGAGCACGATAAATTTTCGCTGATTCACATCCTCATAATCTAAGGAACTATTAACGACTTGTATAGTGACTTCGCTTGATCCGAAGATGATTTCAGGTAATATTTTAAAAGAGTGAGATATGTCATCTAGTTGTAACTCAAAAACAGAATTATTTGCCTTTAAATAAATAGCGTTGTAAATGACTTTATGTATAATTTTCAACACTAACTTACCACATCAGGATCTGAAACCAGCATGTTTAAATTTGGTAATACGTCACCATTTCTAATATCTTCCGGTACTTCCACAAAATACTCCTTTTTATTAAACGATGGTGGCTCGTCATTCACATCATTAACTGTTACATTTACTATTGCTGTTGTAAACGATAGAGAATCATTTGATGGAATCCCATTTGTAACTTCAATTGCCTACGATGGAAGTTAAAGTCGCCTAGAACAATTAATAATCACAATAGCTTACCTTTACTTCTAATGATAGCAATCCCAAAGGATTATCAATAGCCTCTTTATCCAAAGGACGAGCTGTACGAACTTGACCAGAGTTGGCATCAATTAAAAAATAATCCATTGGATCTGAAAGTCATAATAATGAATCACTTTCGCACATACAAAACACTATGACTATTTCAAAAATACCTATAAATATCACTATTTAGTTTATTGTAACAAACTTACTGTTCACTAATTCATAAATTATACTACGCGGCGCACCACGATCTCCATCCTCCGCGTGGAGAGTAAAAACAAGGGTATTAATAGGCGCATCTTCAAAAATTTCGGCATTTGCGAGTCCGATAAAAGCAGGAGGTGTATTTTGGATATCTAATACATGTATTTCAACTTCTACGGTGGTGTTTAGCTCTCCATCCTAAAGAGAAAAAAAAACAATTAATACCTTGCGCCAAAATATTATGCGCTCAAAATTCAAAAGTAGGTAACCATTAGGTCGATTTTAATGCAGAAAAAATAATCCTTTATTATGATTTTCCGAGATAGGGTCAACTAGAGTCCATAATCAGAACAAAACTCCCCCATGAAATTCTTTCAAATTTTAGGATGTTGTAAATTGAACATTTCTTAACAAATACCGAAATTTATTATTGTAAACACTAGAGCAGTTTGGTTTGAATTTCTCCAAAAGGGAAACTCGCATGAACTTTTAAAGCACATTGCTATCCCCTCAAGTAAATTCTTGACACTATGGTAGGTAATACCAATAATGCATTAATTGCAATTGAAAACTAAGTATAATTCGATTAAACTGCTTAAAACCATTTGTTCTTTACTTTTAGCAGTTATGCACCGCATATTGTGGATAGAAAGCCATGCTCAGGCTGCACCCTAAACCGCAGTGTATTAGAATGTGACTCTACCACGATTGTCTCGTGTTGAATGTGGATGTGTGTGGAAGTGTATCTCAGCCATGCAGTTATTGATTTTTCTATGGTGTTTTCCACATCAATCAATCAATTAATCAAAAATTATATGAAAAATTTGAATTATTCTATAATACACATTTTTTGCAAACAGCCTTTGATATGAGCCTCCATTTATTCCCTGAGTCTATGATCAAATCTGAGGTTGCAATACACACACATACACACACTCTTGATTAGATGAGTGCTATAGATTCATATTGATGTGTTGGCGCACGGCTTCCTACACTCCAGGTGAAAGCCCTAATACTAAAACTAAAAATATGCTATTAAATAACATAATCAAATTAATTTATTATCTCAATTTCTGTTATCAAGCAACATCATAATAATTAGGTATTGCTTGGTGTTATTCCGGATGTCGATGGCAAATTAGAGTCAATGCAGCAATTGTTTAGCATTATGAAAATAGAAGCCTATAGCAATTTTATCTTACAACAAACATAAAAAATATTGATTATCTGAATCCTGTGCATTTTTGGCGCATTTTTTTAAGAATTAAAAAAAAGTGCTATTGCTGTTTTTGAAAGTGAAACGTGCATACCTTTACATACGACAACCAATTGGTCTCAGACTTTGCATACGTATGCCTGTAGTGGTGCCAAGCCAAGTAAAACTTTTGAAAATGGGAGGCGAGAGGGGTAAACCCACACTATACCCTTCATGGTATTGTAATGTAAATTGGTTTGTACAAACTACAACTTTTCCGCCAACTGTCCTCTATACTCACGCGGAGTTTGAGCATCACTTGCCCCTTAGTTTGTTTATCGTACTCGATTTGTTAATTAACAACCTCAAGTGTGTTTTGCGATTTTGAAAAACGATAAAAATATCTAACAAAGAATCTGTCTTACATTTTGCATTGCAAATGGAATGGCGTCGGCCAAAACTCTGAAAATGTTGCATAAGACTTCTGGTGAATCGACTCTCAAAAACAAGTGCGAATGAATGGTACAGTGCATTCAAAAGAGATCGAGATTTGGTGGAAGATTTGCCTCATTCTGGTCAGCCATCATCATCTTCAACTGACTTTAACATAGCTAAAGTAAAAGAAATGATGCCTGAAAATCATCGTTTACCTCTGGGAGAGATAGTCGTCTCACAAATCAGTTCGTACCATTGTAAACAATTGTTTGGGCATGAAGCGCTGAAGTCGATTCCAAAAAATACGTTTAAAAAATGTTTTGATGATTGGGTTAGTTAGTTGGTGGAAGCGTATTATTTCGGAAAGGGCCTACTCTGAAGACGATACAATAAATTTAGATAAATAAATAATACATATTTTGCGTTTCATTGACAAATTCTCAGTACTTTCTTGACAGAGTAGCAAATCCATTGCTGATGTCAAAACTTTAAGAGCAAATGTCTCTTGTTTCGTCATCTAATAATTGCAGTTCGCCATTTTTTTGCACACCTCTTTAGACTACTGAGAAACAATTCATTGTTTATGGTTACTTGTACAAGATACTTTAATGTAAGTAAAAAATGAAAAACGTTTTGGCCTGAAACTTTAGCGCATTTTCCATGCAATGATCTGTACTTCCCGAAAGCTCATATAATGGACCATTTATGTGTACAGGGTGATTCAACGATTGCGCGGAGTAACTCTGTATCTGAATGCATTTTTGAATTCTACATGTAATTGTACGTCTTTTTTATTATATGGATAATATCCCAAATCTAGTAGTTTTAAAGATAATTCGATTTTTAAGAAAAATTGGGCATTTGTTAGATTGTCAAAATTATTACTTAAATTTTGATTGCAGTAAAAAAAATACATCTACTATGAAACATTAAAAAAATAGCTTACAGGGTGTTTTTTTTGATAGGTCCAAAGTTGCAAAACTTCATATTAAAAAATCTCACTTTTTGCTGTCATCTTTTAGCTCCTCCAAAAACCTTCAGCTTTTGATAATAATGTCCTATCTATACCTATCTCTGATATTTTTCAAAATGTCTTGGTTTTTCTGGTTTTTATATTTTAATCTTAAATAAGTTATATGTAATTCACATAATAACGAGGTGGCCATCCAAAAAAAGGCAATTTTTATCTATCTCGTCCAAAACGAAAATCATATCGATTAATTTATTTTTCAAACAATTTGTTTTAAGTCCAAAAACTGGAGAAGAAGTAAAAACATTCAGTGCAAATGCCAAATTTTTCTTACAAACCAAATTATCTTTAAAACTACTAGTTCTTCGGATATTAACCATATAATAAAAAAGACGTAGACACGCAGAATTCAAAAATGCATTCAAATACAAGGGGTTCTATTTAAAAAATGTACCTACCATTTTGGCGCCCTACTTTATGGGCGCACCCTGTATAATTCCAAATATTTTTAAAATGTGGAGAATATTCAACCATATCATAATACAAAAGCACTCCATCGAAAAATCTTCAAGGCATTAAGTTACTCCGCGCAATCGTTGACTCACCCTCTACAAGGGAAAATAGTTATGGCATAAATTATTCTTATAAATAAGAAATTTGGCATTGAATGTTTAAAGTATGCGATATGTTTGCCTTTACTAGAAGAAAATATGTTCACAAATAAGAAAATTGACATTGCACACTTTGCGCCTGCGCACATATGATTTTGCAATATGCGGTATGTTGGTCGTTATTAAAAGAATCTTTGATTAAAATTTCAAAAAATATCTCCACAAATAAGAAAGTTGGCATTGCGCAGTGTGCGCATGCGCAGATCTGATTTTTGCAATATTCTATATCCTTGTCTTTACTAGGAGAATCTGATTATAATTTCAAAAAAAATATCAACACAAATTAGAAAATTGATACTGCGCCGTGTGTGCATGCGCACATCTAATTTTGGCAATATGCGATGTGCTAGCCTTCACTAGAACAAATAAATAAGAAAGTTGACATTGCGCAGTCTGCATATGCGCACATTAATCGTCAAGATTTTTATTGACTGATGTGCCAGAGATATAAGCTACCGAATACAAAAAGAACCATCTAAATATCTTGAAAACTGTAGGAGTAGTTAAGGTCTCGGACGGACTGACAGAGAAAGTGGCCCTAACAGCGCCTTTCAACATGAGTTGGAAAATGCGCTAATTAGGGAACTAATTAGGGGTTTCCCAGATAATATTAAAAATGGAACATTAAGAATAATTCTTACCATTGCTTTTAAAAGTATTTTATATTCAGATTTCACTGTATAATCTAGTTCTTTTTTCAACTTAATTGCACCACGATAAATATTTTGGGTTGATTCTATAGTAACAATAGAAAATGTATGGCATGCGTTTGTAAAATCTGGATGGTCCAAACATTCCATCTCTATGGCATCGCCCACAGTATCCACATCAGTAGCTAATACATCGGAAAATATAACTGTTCCAACTGGTGTACTTTCATTTACGTAGACAAAATATGGCACCTAAAATATACTACAACATATATTGTACTTTTACACAGTGTAGACTCTTACATTTTGAAATAATGGTGGATGATCGTTTTCGTCCAGAATTATTGCAGTAACAGGTACAGTCACAATATTATTTCCTCCAACAGGAGCATCCTTAACTTCATCCTCGATAGTAACAAAAAAATGTAGCGTATCATTGATCTATAACAAGCCCTTTTTCACCAGCAACACAACTCTCACCAAAACTTACTTCACGATCCAAAGGTTTGACTACTTTAATTTCCCCTGTCGAAGAATCCACATTTAAAAGATCTGTTCCATATAGCCCAAACTTAACAGTGCTATTCTCAGGATCGTGTCCTTCTAATTTCACCACAACTGTATCAAGCGCTGTATTTTCCGATATGACTAGGCTATTGATTTCAGAAGTTAAAATCGGAGGATGGTTTGTCGCATATGCTAAAAAAATGAATACAAATTATATAATAGAAATTTATTAAAAATGTCTAAATTACCTTTACAAAACAATGTGACTAATCCCAAGACAATCCATGTTGGAGAATTAAGGTTGTGCATGATTCTAAAAAAAATTCATTCATTTAATTTTGTAATATTTTGAATGAAACAGAATATTATTGTGCCAAATCAGCCCTCCTCCAATCCAGATGTGTAAGAAAGTAATCAAATTGGGGGATATTGAAATTTTTAGCGCAATTAAAAAAAAACTGCTATTGTAAGCGTTTTGTCCGTCTCTACTTCTGCTGTTTTTGACTATTTATTTTTCAAATTGAGGGAACGGTGAGGAGAGGGAGGGATTAAAACACATTTTACCTTTCACTGTATTAGAAATTGCTTTTAGCTTTTATGGCATTCTAATAAAAAAAGTCTACGAAAGGATCTGTTTTCTATCCACCTAAAGGGCAATTGATGTTGGAGGAGGATACCCCAGAGACGAACAGCAGAGGTTTATCTAGTAAGGCGAACAATATAGGTAAAGCTCTGCGGTACACGTCTACGCCTTAGAAATATGATTTGATTTGTTGGAAAAAAATGGACAAAAACTGAAGTTGCTGTAAACGTTTGTACGACCAATGCAATTCTTCCCTAATACTCGCCCTAATATTAAGAAATTGTTAGGAATCTTTACGGTTACTCTTACTCACAACCTGAGGAACAGAAACAGCACAGACTCGCAGGATTAGCTCTGATGACAGTCCACATCAGGGACACATTACACATGTACAAATTTTGTCACCCCATTGGGAGGTCACATCGGGCGCGGGCAAATTCAGTTTACACTAGGTAATCGACTGGCGCCAGTCCGCCTTTGAGTGGTCGGGGGCCTGCTACTGGCCCACTGGCAACTTTTGAAGCCAGTGGACTGATGCGGCATTTTTCGACTGTACTGGATCGTAACTGGCCTCCACTAGTGTTTACACAGAGCCAGTTAATGGAGTCTTCTTATTGGCCTTGTGTAAACACGGCATTACTAACGTGCGGGGTGGTAAAGTGTGGCCTTATGATCATGATTAATAAAATCGTGAACAAACTGAACATAAAAGTTTTATGATTTGTTTACTGATCACGAATTCCTAACCTATAAATGCAAGGATTTTTTTGCTCAAATGTTAAGTTAGTCAATATTATTGTAACTGAAGAAGAGCATAATCGAATCGTGCAAGTACTTCTACTTGCATTTAAATTATTTTCATAATCCAAACAAAAAATACGTAATTCGAATGCAAATGTGTACTCCCATCTCGACTCCCATAGGTACTGATTTAAATTCGCGCGTTCTTTAATAAAACGTGATTCAAAGGTGCGTTTAGACTTGAGCACGCAGGAACGAACCATTAATGGTTGCGAATGCTCAAAATGTAAACGGGTGTGCGCGCGCCGCGCACGCTCAACGTGTGCGTCGTTGTGCGCGAGCACCCGCGAACGCGACCCGCTCGCTGTCGGTCTCGGGGACGTGCTCAAATTGCATTGCGAATGCTCAGTTTGAACGGTGAAAAGACAATTGTGTGCGTAGCGAGCATTGTTTGTTGTGCTTTTTATTGTTTCGGCATGAAGTGAAACAATGATATGGTATTTATTTTGCTGCAAGAATATCAAAAGCTTTCTGTTTTATGGCACGTACATCTATTCAAAAACAAACAAAAAATGATTTATGGTGAGAATTAGTACTCAATTTAAATGTAGTACCATGAATTTAAACATTGAAAACTTAAGACACCTAGGAAGATAAAAAAAATGTTAAAAATCTTATGAGATCATTTCGCCGGGAAAAAGCAGCTAACTAAGCGTGCGCGAACAATTCGGATTAGCTCATTCGCGTGCTCAAATCGAAACGCTCATGTGCGAGCGAGCGCGCATGAGTGAATCATGCGCGCAAGCTCAGTTCGTGCATGCTCAAGTCTATAAACACCGATCTTAAAATCATGATAGCGAAGTAGCCGAAAGAAAGCGCCTATTATGCTAAACAAACTGGTTAATAACCACTGTCCGTATACTAAACGGTTGCCTCAGTCACTGCAGTTTGTAGGCGCGGAGAGAGAGGGGAACTTCCCGCGTGTGACGTACTCTCGCCTGCCGTAGAATTTTGTGACGTTTCTGTATGCTTGACGTTTGTATCACGGTCATCGTGCAGAGGTGTATTGTATGCGTCTCTCGCCCTCGTATGCTCCATTTCTTATTAATGTGTTAATTTTCTTTTAAGGTATTGAATTATTGGTTACCTATAAGCCTATAACTATAAATTAAACTGGGATCGTGCCGTGTGTGCACCCCATTGGAAAGTAGATACATCTAGGGAAGAAAGAGTTAGGACAAGGGAACGCAAGCGATTAGTAGAATCACTTCTTCAGGAACCAATTGACGTAACCACTCCATGAACACCTGAATTTTCAACACCAGAGCTAAAGCGGCAGAATGAACATCCGGGGCCATACAGAAAGACATGAAAAAATTTCATCAAAAGCCGTGCAGCCGTTTAGAAAAAGTTCAGTCACACACATCCTTACAGAAGAATTTTATATATCAAGATAATTATGCATGTAATACTAAATTATAAACCTTTCGATTCCATAAGTAAAACTTACTGGTTTTATTGGTACCTAAACGTATATCAAACCTCGTATCAAACGTCGACGATCGTACGTATGCACCTGCCACTGTGGAAATGTCAAAGAAATTATTCCTGATTGAAGCTTAAAAATATCATTACAATAACAAACACAAATATGCAAAAATTAACTCTTTTTGCATATAGTATAAGAGAATTGTGCGATGGGCGGTGATTACTGCGGGCTGAAGTACGTCACAATTGGCAGCGCGTTTTATTGGTTGTTTGGAAGTGAGGCAACCGTTAAGTATACGGACCTACGGACCGTGGTCAATAACGTCATTCAATTCTACAGTGTGTCGTAAATCGTGTTATCCTATAAGCACATCACGAGGGGGTTATAGTCTAGTCACTAGCACATGGGCGGCCTATGTGAGGCGCTGCGGCGCCCATGACCAAAAGGCGCCCGCGTGAAATTCCCCTCGTACAGCTACGGCCCTGCGCAAGAGAAACTGCGCGCGAATCTCGAAATTTAACAACGATCTCGATAAAAGTCTTCAAAACTTTGTTGTGTTAACTTAAATAAATTGGAATTTCCTCGGGAATTTCTCTATTTCAACTGAGCTAAGTACATGATGAACTGCTTTTGTGGAAATTTGTTCACGTCATACCTATTTACGTTCTGGATCGTTCTCGGGTATCAAAACCTCGTTTTACCGTTTAACAAACGAAATCTGTGAGTTACAATGAAAGTTTTTCTAATTTGTGTATTTCATATTTAAGACAATACACTACAGTTAAGTCGCAGAAAAATATGTTTTTCCCGGCCTTTTTCTTTGTGTAGTAAGTACGTCTTGCAGATACGCATAGAATGCATATTGTTAATTAATAGCCCATCCTGGTATACGTATACCATATACGTAAGTAAGTTAAATTACCTACTTATAACTTTTATGTAAAGTTCAGGTTGGACACAAGGTAGGTAATGGTATGAAGAAGAAATTCTCGATCAAATTCTTTAATAGGAAAACTATCCGCCTACCACGCTGTGCATTTTTAACGTGACAGTACGGATATTAGTAACTGACACTCAACTGACAGTACCATTGAATGATATAGGTACCGGATAGTACCCTTTCTTGTTCTTCAAATTATTAGGACTTTAATAAATTAACATTGACTTAACTCCACACATTAAGAACGTAAACATTGTGTAACTGTTACCAAGGTGTACAATTATTGAATTGAGCAAACTGGTACATTCCCAGCATTGTAATGGAGCAGGTTTTTATAGTTGCAAAATAAATACTTAGATAAATCATTCCCATAATATACTCCTAATCTGTACTACTTTTAAGTTGCAAGTCAAAGCATAGAAAACAGATACCTAGCTAAAAGGTAGATACAATTAATTGGATCTAATTAAGTAGGTAGGTACAGTCACTCAGAATCTCAAGCGTGATCTAAGGTTGTCATGGGAACTGAACTTTAAAAACACATTAATCTAATTGACCTACACGCCTGTTTGATTAATAAAATAAAAAATGTGGTAGAAATCCCTACAAAGAAAAAAAGGCAACCACTGAACCACACTTACCTACACTTCAGTTAGAAGCGAGAGCTAACAGAAAACTTTGAAAGCAGGTACTTACCTTTGTATAATTATCCTAAAAATTACGGAAACACAATTACCATTACATTATTAAAACTATCCGCTTAATTGTTACAGAATACATCACCTCGTTTACTTAAGTCATCACTGTAATACTAAACGAAGGAAAAGAAGTAAAAGTAACTGTAAAGGAGGGAGCCATGGAATTTCATAACTTCATAACTATTCTTCAAGGTTGTCGCGTAAAGCCGGAATCTTAAGACATTAGTATGGATGTTTCAATAGAAAACTAAATTAGGTGAAAGGCCAACCTATAGGTTTAATCATATCTATGCTCATTGATAATTGTTGTGTTTTAATTAAACCACAGTCTATTTTAAGCATGCACTCCTATAGCAGTAGTTTCACCTTATATTCGATATCCTTGGCATGTAACCGGATTGGAACTCCCTAAACAATGCGTTGTTATGTACATATATGTGCTCAAGTGAGAAAACGGTGAATTAATAATTAGAATGCATTTAATTAACTATTATGTATACGTACATTTCTAGTTATGTAGGTATCCTGATTCGTTAATTATTAAGTGCCATGAAGTCTATTCATTTAATTTTGAGGACAAACAAAAATTTGACAAAACCAAACTTTCGAATGTCTGACAATTAAGACCAAATTTTGCATTTTTAGCACAGAAATTTGCCTGGAGCAGCGTATATAAAATAAATTCCTATAAATTATACGAAACTACGAGTACCAGCTCTGAGTCTACTGGTTAGAAGTTTTTAATTTTTTAATTTTTATGAGTGACACTACGTAAATTACAGTATAATGATTACAGGTAGTTGTATAAGTGTTCGAACAAATCTGCTAATTTCACTTATACTCGTATTGGCCGATCATTTTTATCCTTGTGCATTCGACTCTAAACGATCCCATGAGCATGGCCTGGAGCGTCAGAAATAGTTTATTTACATAAAAGTCCGGAAAATAACATTACTCGCCAGGAAGTATTAAAAGTACGAGGTCCTCGGCTCGGTAGGCCAAGTATTTTAATTTCCGAGTGAAGTAGAAAGTCCCTGAGTAGAAGTAGTATCTTTTTAGCGCATTTTTTAAGAGTCAAAGAAATGTGTGCTATTGTTTCCGTTTTGTCCGTCTGGCTTCGGACCCACTTCTACCGTTTCGAACTACTTCTAGGGGAATGGTCCTAGAGTCGTGGCATTTTTTGCATTAGATAGCCTATACCTTGAAGGTGTGCCAGACATATCCATTGGTGATGTCAAAACAAAAGCTATTTCGGTTTAAAAAATGCGCTTTATCTGCACAAGAGTTGTGCACAATTTATACTTGTTTCTTTTGTTTTGCATTTTTCCCGAAATCGTCTTTTTTAATACTGTAATGTACTCAGGCCAGCCCCGAGAGACTGCGCAACTCAAGATTTAAATTCAAAACTTTCCCTCCCAAACTAACTGAACCCCATGGCACGTGATCGTCTAGAGACAAAGCTACCTAACCCTTAACCTAACCTGAATAACAAAATAATAGGACCACTTACTACGTTGTGTTTTTAAGAGTCGCTACAAGATATGTGTTGCCTGTCGGAGTGAGGATCAAGTAAGGAACACAAATAAAACAAGTAGGTACATGCTTTAAAAAACGGAAATTTAATCCAAATAATTCACATTGCAAGATTAAATTTAGAAAATGGTAGTTCACCGAGTACAAATATAAAAATAGACTGGGAAAAAAAGAACTGGCAAAGAAAAAACCCAGCCACAAATTAATATTGAACTATAGCAAAATTAGTTGTCTGTAATGGCATGAATGCATATTATGATGGTTGTCAAGTAAATTAAGATAATGTTGAATCACAGGCTCCGCTGGAATTCCTAAAGAATCAATATTTCACACACATAACAAAAAAACAATCATTAAAACATTACAATAAATTCATATAATAGGTTTGGATATTGGATGGTTAGTCCAAATCCCACACCGAGTAGACTTTAGTTGCTCTGGTCATGACATGTCAACATTGTATGAAATCGCTAGGAGTTGGCCTCTCAGAAGAGCCTTTCACATAGGAAGGATACCCCAAATTGATAACAAAAACAAAAGGTCACAACGAGAACACGCCGCACGCAATTAGCTAATCCCTGCGCAAGTGAGGCCGGACCTAGCCAGCGCCCTAATGTACGACTAAGCGGGACCCCAACTCTTTCATTCACACATCTCTAACCCACTAGTTATAAAGTGCCGGGTTATAAATTACCGAACTCCAGGCTCTCTACCATGAGTACTGACAGTAACCGACCAAAAGACAAATCATGACATAACAAAAATAACAGAGCAACCATCGGCAAACTCGCACGCATACATAATCATGAACAAAATACATTGACATATTTGCAGTGACGGACACAAAACCAATATTCCGTCACTACATGTCAGGGATCGACTAACCGGATTGATTAGCAATATCGGCAAGATGGCTCTTTACAAAGACACAAAAAAACAGTACATAAAACATAATTTCTGCGTATGTCAGTTCTGAACTTTAGCCAGCCTCTGCTACGTCAAATCGAGATTAAATATCGGTATCAAATATCAATATCAATTATAGCACAGTACATATTCGAAGCAAGTCACCCTGCCAAATATTAATAATCATAATCACCCGATTCAAGTAAATAGTAGGAGCATAACGTTATGTATCACATTACAACAAAACAAAGGAACATGTCGTTGCAAACATTAGTACAAGTAATTAATTCTCAATGCCAAGTGCAATATGTAACAATCAACCACTTAACGTACGTCACTCGCCCCCAGATGAAGCACGCTGTAAATAAACAATAACATATTCATGATGCAAACAAAAGGGAAATGTGCTGCAATAAACTCAAGTATAAATTAAAATGTCGTTCTGCATATTTGTATTGAATATCGCCCCTAAGGGAACATACTGCTTCTAAATATAAATAAAAACACGTAAATCGGTCACTAATTCATGTTGCCAGCGCTTGGAACAAAGGAGTACTGTAAATTGGGAGACAACATATTTATGTAGAATCTATGCATTTAATTCAAAGTATGACCAGTATAATTAAAAGTGCAAGTTGTATCTAGAATGTGTTATAAATGGCAATAAATCATGCTGTACGAGAATAACATTAAATTGGCAAATAATCGAACACGATCATATATCATTATTAGATGGATACAATAGACGTAGAGATAAAAACTCACTATTCGAAACGTAAAAATTTACTTCTGCTCTCAACAAAAGCACAAATACCTCTGCCTAAATCTCCCCTTTTTAAACAAATCCTAGACGAAAATTGTTAATATCGACTGGGCTCTGAGACGTCGGGTCGATAGGGATCATTAAGTTCCCTCGCATAGCGTTATATTTGACACTTTTATTATAAATTATGGCCCATTTCAATGTAGAGCAGAGAAGAAAAAAACACGTGTTCTACGGAAACGAAACAAAGCGCAATCTTGACTTTTTTTCGTCGCGCCAGGGTCGGTTTCGAGAATATTTAAATCGAATTTTAGTGGGCATCACAATACCTATAAAAAAATTTCAATGTTTATATAGAACTTTTTATTAATATTGATATGAGTTTTGACAGGAGTCTGGAAAACGAAAATTTCGTGACAAAGTGCAGGGTGTAAAAAATAAAAATGAAGATTTCATGAAGATTTCGGGAAAAATAGTAATTATGGGAATTAAAACAGCCACATAAATAAACGTTGAAATTTCACGGTTGACCTACCTAGAATGTTATCAAAAATACCGACCGAACAATTTTCGTATAACCTGCTAATATGACACAAAATATCGTAAATATAGGTAGGTACTTGATTGTTCCCCCATTTCACTTTTGATGGTTAAATAAAAATTCAGTACTGAATTTGATTTTGAATGTTCCATTTTCGGATCGTTTAATAGGTAGGTATCTTAGATCATACAAACAGGTAGGTGGTACTACCTTAGACCGTTGAGTGAAGGTTTAGGATACTCTGCTTAGACTAAGGATAGGTACTAACATAGTGTGAGATTATATTCACGTTCATATGCCTCATTCACCTCATTGCCTTTTTTCCTACTGATCTGTTGCTTGTGGCGCAAATTGCACATTTTCTGCACTACTCCTTGACATCTTGTTTGGAATTTATCCAGTAGAATCGTTCCCGCACCAGAATTGTTGTCACTCTTAACTAAAAAACTGAGCCTAGATCAACATTGACAGTGCTCTTTTCGCATCTCGACCATTTATAAACCGAATTGCAAACTTTTTTATTTTGAAGGTATTTAAATGAAATTTGATACATAGTCACTTGGAATAAAACCAAATTTAACATCAGTTTCAAAATTTGGTTTTGCGCATTCGCAGTGCCAACTTTCTTATTTATGGAGGCATTTAAATGAAATTTGATGCCTAGCCATTTGGAATAAAAGCAAACTTAACGCTAGTTTCAAAATTTCGTTTTTCGTCGACCTCTCGATAACAATATAAATTACTAATATTATAAATTATTAAGTGACGAGTACAATGATGAAGCTTATTAATCGTTAGCAACCGTTAATGGTTAGCAACCAACCATTATACGTTAGCAACCACTTATACATAACAACCATTTTATTAAAGGGAATGACATTTATATAACAATTCACTTTCGGCATCAGCTGAGAACTTCCATCCACCTAACCATTTTAATCTCGCTTTTAATGTAGTGAGATCAGTAGCCAGTATGGTCGCCAACGATCTCAGCAAAGCATATATCCTGATGTGTAGCTTCTCGGATAAGGTATTGTTAAGGTATTCATCCCCAGTTGCACAAAATTAAGCCTTGCTTAAAGTTAAGTCGAACTTAAAATCTATGGCAACGATTATTAAGACAATCGTTGGTTCGTTGCTATGGTTATGCTTAACTTTAAGAGATATAATACTTAATTTTGACGGTGCATCAGTACCTTCAACAGTGAGTACGTCGACCACAGGGATGAACATTTCCATATCTTTAACTGTTAATACACGTACTTTTAGTACAGTTGCAAAAGAATTAATTACATTCTAATTTCACATACCTTTTCAAGGTAAAATGTCAACATGACATTTTCGAAAATATCTCCTTTCAATTTCATTGTATTCCATCAATTGCCGAACTGATCGAAACCGTTCTTCCAATAAGTTTCTTTTGATTTGAGCGGATATACTGTTAAAATCGCCTCCGCAGCAGAGTAAGCAACATAATCTTCCACTGCGATTACGAGGACTGACGGCACAGCATAAAACAACACATTACTATAGCAACGACAATAGCTGTAATTTAGTGAAAAATCGTCGGAGCTCATAATTTCGTTTGTAATTTCTTGTAGTTGAATTTAAAATTGCCTACCCCAGTGAAGTCGACGAAAAAACGTTGTTGGTTGTATGCAATTCGTGTATAAATCGGCGATTATTGGTTCGTTCGAATTCACATCTCACTCACTAATAAAACGCCTCATTTATACACTCATTGCATAAATAACTATTTGCGCATGTGCAGTGCCGTCTTTTTTATTTATGACGGGATTTAAATGACATTTGATGAATAGCCACTTGCAATAAAAGCAAATTTAACACCAGTTTCAAAATTTCGTTTTGCGCATGCGCAGTGCCAACTTTCTTACTTATGGAGGCATTCAAATGAAATTTGATACATAGCCACTTGGAATAAAATCAAATTTAGCGTCATTTTCCAAATTTGGTTTTGTGTAGGATGTGCAGTGCCAACTTTCTTATTTATGAAAGCAATTAAATGAAATTTCATACATATACACTTTAAATAAAATCAAAACTAACAAATTTGGTTTTGCACATGCTATAGCCATACCCAGGGGCTCGTTTTCTATATTTGTTTAGTTTATTGCGTATTCGTTTTGTACTCCGATCAATTCGGCGCGTTACGAACACGGAGAAGTAGTAAAAAACTTCCCAACTGTGCGAGCGAATCCCTTTGTGTTCGGCACAAAGACCGACTTTTGGTGGAGCGGGCGAGCACGTTGCGAATCTGTTCGCTTTGTGCTCGAGGTACCGTTTCAACTACACGAATTGGTTCAATAGTACAATGATAATTGTCTACAACTCGCCTAAGAAGACCATCTTCTAACCCCAACGAGTCCTACCCCACTGAGCCCAAAAGATGCCTTTAAAACTGAACCGTCTTGAGATAGCTCTTCCAAGATTCGTCTTCTCTCACTTTAGACGTAAATTACGGTCATCTCAAGCTGTCCGGAGTTCTTGGGAGCCTAATCTTCATTCACAAGTACAGTACGTCGCGCGTGTTCGTGTGCAGACTCCGGGACATAACTTGCTCGGTCTTTTCCACTGACTAGTTTTAGTTTTCCCTTGGTGGTCACGGTATGTACCTACAGGGTATATTTTATATTTACAGTACAAAGTGCGTAGGTATATTTGCTTACAACATTTGATTAGCTTGCAACTTTGGGCGAGTTCACTATTTTGCTGTAGTATTCAAATTTATGTCCACGTACATACATTGCCGTTTCACTATTATAGGTATATGGTACGTTCTACCATTGAATTTATAAGTATAAATTATAAATATAATAAACTAAACAAATATAGAAAACGAGCTCCTGGGTATAGCTATAGCATGTACAAAACCAAATTCTAAACCTGATGTTAGTTTTGCTTTTATTTAAAGTGTATATGTATCAAATTTCATTTAATTGCTTGCATAAATAAGAAAGTGGCCACTGCACATCCTGCACAAAACCAAATTTGGAAAATGGCGCTACATTTACTTTTATTCCAAGTGGCTATGAATCAAATTTCATTTGAATGCCTCTATAAATAAGAAAGTTGGCACAGCGCATGCAAATTTTGAAACTGGCGTTATATTTGCTTTTATTCCAAGTGGTTATGTATCAAATTTCATTTAAATACCTTCATAAATATAGTTTGCAATCCGGTTTGTAAATGGTCGAGATGCGAAAAGGGCACTGTGAATGTTGATCGATTAGGCTCAATTTTTGGAATTACGTTTTATATGGCTATACGCATATTGGATTTCATGCAATTCGGTTCAAAACTCACGGAGATGTCAAAAGGGCCTTCCTTATTTTTTGGGCTACATTGCCAATTCACAAACTCCGATCTAAAAATTCGATAAAGAATCCACCTGCAACAATTATTCGCAATCGGTCCATTCGTTTATGAGTTATCGTGCTAACGGACGGACAAACACCGCAAAATTATAAACTCGCAAGGAGCTCGTTAATAAGTATACATTTATAACTATAAATTCAATGGTTCTACTTGGGACGACTGTATACAGATGAGAAGATATTCCTGTTTGGCTCTCTTTACTAACCTTGGGGAAAACAGGATTTTTCCCGTTTTCCGCTTATTCGCAAATATGTGCGCGATACAGTCACATTCTAATCAACTTTGCCATGAGGCCACTCGCGAATCTCCAATGCGCGGTGACAAAACAGTTTTGATTTTTGTTTCTGTCATATCTTGACATATGACACTCAATTATAGCAAAAATGAATTTAATTAAAACAATATATTAATACAATAAAAATTTTAAGTGAAACAACTACCGTTGATAAAAAAATCTCACTCGGTACAACAAAAATGACGCAAGTAAACAGTAGGTAACCACTTATCTCACAAAAAAACTAAATAATCAAATTCTAAAGGCGCCCATTCCCGCAACCCTCCGGCGCAGTTGATTGTCCCTTGTCCAGTAGGATCAAACGTTTCTCATACAGAAGACTTCAATGTATGTAGGCCTAGTTGCAGTGAATCATCTCATGGAGTTTTAGCTGTTGTGGAAGGAGGGCGTAATGTTTTGGCGAGATACCAAGAAAGAAGAGGCCTTTCTAAATATGAGTAATGAAAAATAACGGGTCCCTCACAAACCGTTAATAATTCTTTTTCACTTTAGGCCGTTGAATTTCGTTTGTCTAATGGGAATTTTAGTACGACAATCTTATTATGCCCTGGCTGCAATTTTTATGATGATTTTAAATTTGTTGGCTCTTTTACAAGGGTTTTTATACTTAACAAGATTTATATTCGATAAAACTATCGATATCTCGAATGCAGATGGAACAGCAACAAAGGTTTACAAGTTAACGCGCTTTATTGTTGAACTTTTGATTGTCGTTGGTATACAGGTGGTAGTGTGTATTTTTATGGTATTTCCGGTGTGCCACTTAATCGCAAATATGTATACACGCGTTTTGGATACTATATGAAGTGTGCTTATTTATGCAATACAGAAGGTTATATATATTGAGCATTTCTCCCTGCGTTTATATTCATTTAGCAAATGAAGCGTAAAATCCTGAAAACCGTTTCACTAGTATCATTGTTTATTCATAAACAATGGTAACAGATAAGGATAACAAAAGGAAGTATATTTAAAAGCCAGACACATACCTATGTATGTATGAAACATTAACATTTTCAGTTTGTAGTTTTTTTAACGAACCAAAACATTTTCTTGGGTTTTCAGATTAGGATCTCGAAAAAAACCATATCATTCAATCCAGTAAAACGGCTGGGTTGCTGGAAATTTTCATGCCCAAGGCAGCCAACAGTTTCTCACTTGCTAAATTAAGAGTTTTACCAAAAATGTACAATAAATTCTATCAAGGTTTGAAAATTGCAGAAGAACCGACCAGTACCTACCTAATAAAACACCACGGCAAACTTTAATAAACCAATTAATTTGGGCAGCAAAGTTGTCAATATTGAACCTAATTTCTAATCATTGATTATATTCGTAACTGGAAGGGAAACAAGCATATTATTAAAATGAAGCCAGACGAGTGGTAGTATCTTTATCTCTCTCTCACACTAGTAACATTAAGAGTCTTCTTTACCTAAGCGCAACTTTTTTACATTATAGTGTATAGATGATTATAGCTGCAAGAGATAAGATGATATTCTTGCTTTGTCAACTCCTGTCTTGGTCTTTAGTTAGTTCCCACCTACACTGTGCAGTGGCGCCACTTGTTACACTCAAATTGTTGATTTATCGCCCGCCAAGATACAGACTTTATTTACAAAAATTATGATTTCGTTTTTTGGGGTCATGTTTAGAAGTAACTTATCTAAAAAACTGTCGGTTTACTTTTTCCATAAATCGTCTTGATCGAGAGTAAAAAAATAAAACAGATTAGCGCAATAATCGGTGCGAAAATTCTAATCTTTAAACAATCGGTATTCAGTTGCTATAAACTTAAAAAAATAGTCCGAACATTTTGTAGATAAAGGTCTAAATTTATAAAATAGTTCTTAAAAAAATAGTTTTTTGAAAAACAACTAGAGTTTTTATGGCGAGCGCTCTTATGGAAATTTACATTGGGTGCAGTGGGTAGAGAAGACTCTTAAATTCATTGACAAATTTTTCTATTTCACTTAAATTCATACAGTCGTATTTTCTGCTTCTATCAGGCGTGCTATGAGAGTGAGTGAAATAGTAATACCACCACCTCATTCTGTCGCACGGCTTCAACGATACGCATTTGTCGCCTACACCCGGTTTCCCTTCCAATTACGTAGTTTATAGTTCAATGTTTCTAATATACAATGGTACTGTGGTAAGTCCCTATAAGCACAGACTAACTACAAAATCTGTGCTATAAGGTATTTGATTGATAGGCGAAATAGTGATATAATATAAAGACGATTTATTATTATTATTATTATTATGGTCGGTGTTTCTTGTGAGAACTCAGGTCTAGCCTGGTTAACTAATCGCACGGATTAAAATCAAGTAACGATCAGTGTCTGTGTCTGTGTCTGGTGAAGTTATGTAGGGTCCTAAAAAAAAAAAAAAATCACACATGGGCACAATAAGCCAACGCTATCAGGAAAGAGGAAAACAAAACAAAACAAAAATCATTATAATAATTCCTGTAATTTTATTAAATTATTATTATTATTATTATTATTATTATTATATGTATGTTGAAATTGTATTTATGTCTTAAAACGCAGAGAATAATTTTAATGAAACTCTAAAGTGTGAGTGAAAGAACTACGTATGTTTTTCGGAACTAGATTTAAGAGAACGATTTCGTAACTAGGCGCTCTCCGAGAAACTAGCGCCATCTCAGAACGAGGGGACCGCATATCGGCACGCTAATGAACGTACGATTTTTTATTTTTACAGTTAGTTACACCCCTTTAAAAGCAGATGGCAGCATCTCCTGGGCGTAATTAGCAATGCCAGTTTATCCTATTTGTTTGTAACTCTTTTCCTCTATGATAATACCAAAGACTATCCTCCTCGTCTTGATAATACTTTATTATCTTTCGATTTTAAAACATGCTGCGACCTCTGATATTTAATAGCACAGATATACGTAAAGAATATATCTGCCATAGAGTAAAACATCTGCGGATAGTTATAAATTCAATGATAGGTATTAGCTGCTCTACGGCTCTTTCGGTGTCACCCCTCAGAGTAAGAAATAAAGATAGAGTACGAGTAAGCTATAACAACGTGAACGTTTGTTTTGAACGAGGTTTTGAACCAATATGGAACGCCGTTTTACTTTTTAATGGCAACCGTATTTAAGAATTTAGAAGAATGAATTATGAACAAATAAAAATATCTTAGAGATATTTTTAATTAAAATTACAAATATCTTAGATATTTTTAATTGCACTTTTTGCTTCTAGGTTATTTAAATTAGCTCTGAGATATTTTTAATTCGTGTATACGCATAAACGGGAAAAAAATATAATTTCGGTTTTATCGATATCTTAGAGATATTTTTAAATAATTAAAAATATCTCATAGATATTTTAAATTCAAATAAGGAAGAAACCTCATTAACTTATTTAAAAATATCTCTAAGATATTTTTAAATTGTGTATTTATCAATATCTTAGATATTCAAATATATATAGACTCAATTAAAAATATCTTAGATATTTTTAATTAAAGTTTATTTAAAAATATCTAAGATATTGTAAATTACCGCCATCTAGCAGCAACGTTTACGAAATAGTTATAAAATAAGTTTGACAACCTCGCAAATTTCTTGTATTGGGTACGTCGATCAGCTGATGTGTGTTATTGTTTGTTTTGGTGGAAATTGTGCCAATTCTGTTATTTTTATTATTGGTTTATAGAAACTTATGACTTTTTGTGCGTGTTATTTTTGCTTGAGTGTTGTACTCAGTATTTCTCATTTTCTGTACATTTTTACAAGATCCCGTTAACGGTGCAAGAACGTTTTAGTGTCATTTAATTGTAAATAGTGATTAAACATTTTTTGAGAATCGTTTTGGTATATATTAGATTAGATACTAGCAATGGCAAGTTGTGCTGTAAATGGTTGTAAAAACAACAGAAAATTTCCTGTGATCAATAAAAAATTTACATTCCATAGGTTAGTTAAATTCAGCACTGATACATTATAAATCAAAATTTATATTCTTTTAGTTTCCTTAAATAAAGGTGAAATGCGAAGTGTGGTTAACACTGCTTGGCAAAACCGATGAAAATTGGAAATAGAAATAATGTGATTTGTTCTGAACGCCAACGCTTTTGTGTATTATAAGTACGGTTCTGGAGTAAGATCCTTACAGCCAAATTCGATTCCTTCACTTCAATTGGGCATGTCAAAAACAGTATGAAGTATTGCACCTGTAGTTTCGAAATATTAATATGAAATTACGGTAACACCTATTCATCCGGTTCACATGAAATGCACTTACAAAGAACACTGCAAGCAGGGCCGTAGCTACCGGTGTTCCACAGACACGGGCCCGGGCACCAAAGGGCCCGTAATGAATGTGCTTTTTTTTATAACTATTTTCATTGAACATTGTAAAAGCACCTACATAAAATCAAGCCTGTAGGTACCAAATATGAATAAAAGTAAAATAGTGTTTTTTATAGAATGGAAATGAAATACATGTATAAATAGCGTAGGCTGTGAAAGTGCACCATTCATACAAATATAAACCCTTATATTATATTACAAAATATCAGGTTCACAGCACATTGCAGAGCAGTAGCCACATAAACAAAGTTGATCAGAAACTCCGCTCTGATTGGCTTCCTTTTAAGAATTAAGTTACGACTGCACTCCTAACGTGAGATATCGGTTGGCTCGATATCACTTCACGTCTAATCGAAGCAGGGACCGACAAGAAATCCAAATTCCAAAGTGCAAATGTGAATGTGGGAATTGTTTTGTAGTTTCATATAATCTACAAGCACTTGCTATTGTTCTTCTGAGACGACTCAAAACATCCCCTTCATCCATATTTAAGTTTTAAGTAAAACCTAAAACGAGCCGTTGATCACACGCAGAAACGATAACAAACATATACCTAGATATATGACCACCAATCAATACACGTAAATTAATAATCAGAAATGAAAACAATTCAATGATGAAAACTTCACAGAGGTTAGAAAACAAACTAATTACAATGTTGCCAGATGTTCCGTCACGCAGGAGTTGTGCGCGTTTACAAGATCTTTCCGATGACACCAATTAGAAAACAATCGGACCAAAATTGTAGATGTGAAAAAAATTGAAAAATCACCACGTTACTTCGCCCACCACTCTTGGGAATGGCGCCCAGATAAACATGAAATAATTTTTAATTTCTGATCGAATGACACCAATACCAAGTCTATAGTTCCAGAGCCTTTGTGAACACTTTTTGAAAGTGAAAGTGCACAAAAAAATCACCCCCCATGGGTTTAAAGTAAAAGACTTAAGACGGGAATCAATTTTGTGGGCTCGTGGTTTGAACTTTTGAAGCATCTCGGATCATGTGTTGCACAATTTTTGAAATCCATCGTCACACGCATTTTTTACACAAAACTATATGTTTTATAAAAACGAGGCACTTTTGTGCTTATTCGGAACTAAGGAACGTTACGGGCGATCAAAAATAAGTGGAGACCCAGTCGCCTTTGGTAGTTCAAGTTAGACGCTTTCCCATGTAAACAAAAATTTCAAATGTGACTCGACAGCAACTCATTTTTGATCGCATTGTATATCAGGAAAACAGGACTGTCCCTTTGAAATGAGATGTTTGGTAACTTTCTCACTTTAGGTATTTAGTGTCTAAGTAAATATAAAAAAAATAATGAACACGTCTCAAAGATTTTTTAAATTTCATCCCTTAAAAGATGTAAAAAGAGGTGTGAAAGTTTGTATGAAAAATACCTACAACTGCAGTATATGTGTGACGTGTGTCACTGAACTCTGAACTCCCCGTTAAATTTTAAATATTTTATAGATTTTTAGGGAGAACAATGTCGGTCGCGTCCGCCAGTGTTACGTGTAGATAATTAGCTGAAAAAATGTCGAATTTCAAAACATAATGCAGTTATAATTTCAATTTCATAACATAAAAATTAAAACCTTATTGGCTAAAGTTTGCACCTTTTGTTTTTCTTCAAGTGCAGATCTGCAGATTACCCACACCATATACGGTCTATTCAGTATATCTTCCGTTGCACGTCATTACCTGAAGAAAACGACGTACCAACGTAAACTTACTTTCGTTTATTAGGCAACACATTAAGCTTGTAGTTTATTTTGGCCGCAACAATTGGTAGCATTTCGCTATGTTGTCGCGTTTAAATTTGTAAATTTGACAGGTTGCTTTTGGCTTACTTTTCGTTTGATCTGATTTTGATTATTTTCTACGTCTTTCGCTGTGCATTGGTTTGAAGAGAAATTACTGAAGAATTTAGATAACCCGTCAGTAATTGTGTTCGATAACGGGAAAACAGACAACATTAAAGTGTGGTTAGGTGATCATAATGTGCAGTTCTCCGACAATGATTTTAAAGCCGAACTGTTGGAAAGGTTGCACAGTAAGTACGTCCGCATATTATTTGATATTACGTAAATCTTGTTGATACTTTTAGGAATAAACCAGCTAAAATGTACCGCATAACGCATTGACCACTTAGCCGAGCAATACGGTTACTTCGTTTTACGATTACCACCCTATCATCGCGTTTTTAATCCTATCGAACATATTTGGGGCATAGCGAAAAATTACTACAATCGACACAGATGGAGATGGACGAAGCATTGAAAATTGCATAAACATGTGACAAGAAACACTACAATCGATAACTTCGGAAACGTGGCGCAATTCAGTTAAGGATACGGAAACTGTAATACACGAGTGGTACGAAAGAGAAAAGCAATTAGATCTTGAAAACGTTGCTACTATTATTATAAACTTTGAACACGAAAGCAGTTCCGATGATTCCGATTAATTTGGATATCATCCATCACATCACATAACCTGTAAAATTTTATATTTAGTACTTTCTCTGTAAAAGAGATGCTACATTTGTACAGTTCATAAGTTATTAAAGTATATTGTATGTATAATGTATATTGTGGTTCCAATTAACGAAATGAATAATAAAAATTATTTTTATTTTATTTAAGGTGTGCATTGTTCATACAAACAATATGCACTGTCTTGTTGACAAGTGACATAACCTAAATCGCTCAAAACTAGATTTGGCATTATTGCATAGTAATTACGTCACAGAAAATGATGACGTGCAACGGAAGTTATACGGAATGAAGTGTATATTATTGATTTATTACCGTATAACTTCCGTTGCACGTCATCATTTTCTGTGACGTAATTACTATGCAATAATGCCAAATCTAGTTTTGAGCGATTTAGGTTAAGTCACTTGTCAACAAGACGTGCATTCTTTTGTGTGAACAATCCACACCTTAAATAAAATTAAAATCATTTTTATTATTCATTTCGTTAATTGGAACCACAATATACACACAATATACTTTAATAACTTATGAACTGTACAAATGTAGCATCTCTTTTACAGAGAAAGTACTAAATATAAAATTTTACAGGTTATGTGATGTGATGGATGATATTCAAATTAATCGGAACCATGGGAACTGCTTTCGTGTTCAAAGTTTATAATAATAGTAGCAACGTTTTTCTAATTGCTTTTCTCTTTCGTACCACTCGTGTATTACAGTTTCCGTATCCTTAACTGAATTGCGCCACGTTTCGGAAGTTATCGATTGTAGTGATTCTTATCACATGTTTATGCAATTTTCAATGCTTCGTCCATCTCTACCAATGTGTCGATTGTAGTAATTTTTCGCTATGCCCCAAATATGTTCGATAGGATTAAAAACGCGATGCTAGGGTGGTAATCGTAAAACGAAGTAACCGTATTGCTCGGCTAAGTGGTCAATGCCTTATGCGGTACATTTTAGCTGATTTATTCCTAAAAGTATCAACAAGATTTATATAACATCAAATAATTTGCGAAGGTACTTACTGTGCAACCTTTTCAACAGTTCGGTTCTAAAATCATTTTCGGAGAACTGCACATTATGATCACCTAACTACACTTTAATGTCTGTTTTCCCATTATCGAACACAATTACTGACGGGTTATCTAAATTCTTCAGTAATTTCTCTTCAAACCAATGCACAGCGAAAGACGTAGAAAATAATCAAAATCAAATCAAACGAAAAGTAAACCAAAAGCAACCTGTCAAATTTACAAATTTAAACGCGACAACAACGTTGAGATAAAAGCATTGAATTATTCAATGATAAAAGGTCTAAACTCCGTACAATCTGCGCATGCGAAAGAAACGTCAAAGTTCAGTTGCAATTTGTTATTAATTAAAATGTAGGTTAGGTTATTGTTTTCATCACAGGCTATTATAATGAATAAACATATTCGTAATGTACATTTAAACTAGCAGACTTTTGAGGTTGTTATACCAAGAGCCATGTTTCGCTGCAGCAGTATAAAATCCGAAAAGGACAGTATAAGCCCCATGTTCACAAATCGTAACCCAAGACATTTCAAATATCTACGAATCGCTCATAAACCGGACGGCTGCTACGGTGATAAAACTGGAACGCTCCTACTGGCATAAATATACAAATTTGCTTTCCTACCGCCTCCAATAAGACAGCCCGATTGTAGATGACAACTGACACAAACAGGCCGTTACATAACTTCATTGTTCGTGCATTACATCAACGGACCCGACGCTCACCGCTAGCACGAAGGAATGGGCCATCAAAACCAGGCTGTATAAGACCATGTACCAAGTCGTTGGCGTACATGAACGTTACACGGTCACGTCCCTGCATTCAATTTAATGTTTGCTACTTGTAGGTTTCAGTTCTTCGTACAAAGATGCCTTGCAAGCGGTCCGACAGAGTTGATGTGCGATTGCAAACCCGAACACAACGTCAGTAAGGTCGCAAGTAAGGCACATTGAGCGAATTAGCAAGAAGGCCACTGCATGTCTATGGGCATGCAGGAGAGCTTTCGGCTGCACATGGGGATTAAATCCTCGACTAGTATATTGGCTTTACACTTCAGTGATAAGGCCGATAATATTGTACGGCGCACTTGTATGGTGGCCTGCAACGCGCAGGGTAACATACAAGAAGCAGCTGAGTAAGGTACAGCGACTCGCTTGTTTGGGAATCACTGGAGCCATGAAAACCACGCCAACGTTGGCTGTGGAGGCTCTTCTGGGACTTGAACCTCTACACTTATCGGTAGAGTCACTGTATTGCATGATGCATATAAGCGACATCTAGAAATAAATAGCTGCACTACTGCTGCTTTCCGCCATTGTGGTTGATGTAACTGTTTAATGGAGTCTTTGAGAATGACTCCTGGCCGCAATATTGGATTTTAAATGACAAAACTTTCAATATTCAAAGAAGAGGAGCAGTTTTACAGCGACTGTACTTTAAAATTCAACAATTCCTTAAAATAAAAAATAAAATGTGTCGCTTATTTTAGCAATATTGTAGTAATTACTGTCTTTCTAATAAAACCTTTATATAGTCGCTCTAGAGTAATGTATGTAGATTTTCAAAAACCACGGTAAAAAATGATTGTATAAGCCCAGCATTGTCAAACCAAAGAGAGTACTCTTTGCTTAAAGTTGGATATAATTTTACCAAAGATCATACTACACTAGATAGCCAGCGTTAATGCAAGAGATGTTTCGCGTTGTAGTTCCATTAAAATATTATAGGGGGCTTTCAAAGTTAAGAACGTAACTAATTCATCCGAGGCCGTCTTCGTACGAGTTCGAATTTTATTTTTACTTTTTTTTGCCTTTATTTTTGAGTGGGCGGGATTTCAGCCAAGGTTGCTCTACCAACCCCACCCACTATACATTTACAAATATCCATGCCCGAACCAGGGACCCTTAGCACCACAGTCCAGCTGTAATCATATCATAAATACAAAGAATGCGGTTATTGTCGAAAGACGAGACACGTAAACATGACCTAAAGTCACTAAATATAGAAAGTACCGCAATCCATTGGGCTCGTGTGTTAGAGAGAGAACGTATGATTTTTGCCCAAAAATGGCGGAAGTTACCTGATTCTAGTAACTTTAATGTTAGGGATTGTTCCATCTGTTTGGAGATATCTGTATATATTTTTATAAAACATGACAGTACTATGAACTTAGGTTATAAAAAATTACAGCTATTCAGATTTTATTTGTCAATTTTTTTAAGTTGGCAGCAAATTTGCCCAAAAATGGCGGATGATTGCGGTACTTTCTATATCTAGTGACTTTAACATGACCTACTGAACATTCTTCACGTTCATTATGATAAAATTACATGTGTATACGTGGGCGTCATTCAGGAAAAGATAGGTCCTGTTCCAGATAGGACGTTAAAATGAAAAACATAATTTGTGAGGTTTTACACATTCCCTTTGTATTTTTTTAACTAACGCCACCCAATACATTTTAGAAATTTTTCAGATGAAATTAATATTTGCAAAAGTCTTTTTTCTTAGCATAATTTTGTCAAAGTTTTAGTTTCAGGTACCTACGATACATCTAAGACGCTTTCTTTCGATGATCAAAACGCGTTTGGATTGTCAAATCACGTTCTTTTGAAGTGTGATCTTATGATCATGATTGCTAAAATCGTGAACAAACTGAACATAAAAGTTTTATGATCACAAATTCCTAACCTATAAATGCAAGGATATTTATACATATATGATATTTTTGCTCAAATGTTATAGGTTAGTCAATATTTGTAACATAATCGTGCAAGTACTTCCACTTGTATTTAAATTATTTTTATAATCCAAACACAAAATACGTAATTCGAATGCAAATGTGTACTACGTAAACTTAACCATACTTTGATTTGAATTCGCGCGTTCTTTCGTAAAACGTGACCCTACGAATCACGATCTCGAAATCATGATTGCCAAGTAGCCGAAAGAAAGCGCCTCCAATTTAGATTTGTTGTAATTAAACATTTTGTGATTGGAGTAAACGAGATCCCGCTTAAGTCTCCTACATAATAAAATTGTGTCGAGGATATCGAGTCGGAATTTGCTGAAATCGATCACATTGAACGTAATTGGTTTAATAGGTAATAAATATAATACAAACGCCTCCGCGATTCTTTTTGAAATCAGTCTGGAGGGGGGGGGATTATTGATTTTATCTTTCAAGGTATTTTAATTAAAGGTCTCAACGAAAGGAACTGTTTTCTACCCCCTTCTCCCTTCCCACATATCAAAAATGGGGGGGGGGGGGATGACTTTAGTCTTTATGGTACCTACCCTAATGTAAGGTCTCAACAAAAGAAAGTCTGCACAATTTGTACTTGTTTTTAATACGTCAGTACAGTTTGTACTTTTATTTCATAAACATTAACAACTCAAAATTTTAAGTAGGGCAACTCCGTTACGGCGTTACTCCGCTTGAGCACCCACGTCACTGTATTGCGTTTTTAAATGGACGTTTCCCGAGCCGCGCCAAAGCATGACTTACCTATTGATATCTCTTTTTGGTGCACGTATTTCCATTTAAAGTTCCTTTAACGTAGAGCGTCCTTCTTATAGCGTTTTCGATTGGCAAAACTCGTACTGCACGAGTGTTGCACGAGAAACTGAAGAAATCCATGTGAAAATTGCTCTCAATGGAACATAAATATTCGTAAATATTTGCTGTCATTTCACATTTGTCCATAACCTCATTTTAGATTTGTATTTATACAATGATTTAGGTAATCGACAAATCTGTATTCTAAAAAATGACTGAAACGATTTCACTATTATTTATGATAAACAATGAGGAATATAAATTTGAAATTCCTGTAAAGAACCAATTTTTGGCGTTCACTTTAAAGAGTAAATGCAACTCTTTGTAAAGTAGAAGTTATATGGCTAGTTCATCATCTTCGCTATCGCTAGATGACAACAAAAAACTCTCAACGCAAGAAACAAATTCAAATTGGCGCACTTTTATTTTGAAACGAGCTCTCCGACCTCGTGCGTCAAAATTTGCATTTAGTGCGTAATTGTTGCATCACATTTGCCAATGGAACACAGAAAATTGCCCTAAAATTACCAATAGAACGTAAAAATTGCACTCGTGCAGCACGAGTTTTGCCAATCGAAAACGCTATTAGTTCACCACCCGAGGTGACAAAACTGGCTACCCACTTGCCTTCTACCACAACATTATTATGTGTTAGAACGACAAAGATATATAAACTGATGGCGTGCGTTAATTAAGCGCTAATCCGAAATCGAAACTTACTCATTTTACAGACTTTATACAATATACAATATACTGTGCCGTTGGCCTACTTCTAATAAATATGCATTGGGTACGTCTATGGCAACGTCCTTTACGCAGTTTATCCTTTTTCTGAATGTAGTTCCGTGCGCCACTGCCAAACATTGTTTTTTCCATTGTTTATATAAATTAATAAACAATGGTTTTTTCCATCTTTAACCTCAAACTTTGTTTATTTTGAATTTTAATTGTTATACTATTATTATACTTATTATTGAAATTGTTGCTATGTGGTTATGCAGTAGCGGTTAGAGATAAAATTGCTTTCCGCTATTTTTTATATAATATTGATCAGTGCAAATGCAAGTACATTGCTGTCGGACAGCGGTAAGGCAGGTACATTTTATTTTATATCATAACTATACAATTTCTAAACTATGAAATAGATTTTACAGACACTCTCTAAATCATCAGTGATCAATATGCCACCTAAATACCTAACTCAACAAGAGGCGATAAATGTGGACGTGGATTTGTTTAATGAGTATAAATACAGTGTCGATCAGTTAATGGAATTGGCCGGCTTGAGTTGTGCAACAGCGATAGCCCAATGTTATAAGCCTGAAAAAATTAATTGCAAATCAGTATTGGTTTGTTGTGGCCCTGGAAATAATGGAGGTGATGGTTTAGTATGTGCAAGACATTTAAAACTATTCAATTACAATGTCTCGGTTTATTATCCCAAACGTACCGATAAAGACCTTTACAATAATCTAACGCACCAATGTGAAGCAATGGATATTCCTTTGTTGTCAGAATTGCCCATTTCCAATGAAATAAATAAATATGGTTTAATTGTAGATGCTCTGTTTGGATTTAGTTTCAAACCACCTGTACGTGCTGCATTTGTGCCTATTATTGAATTAATGAAAACTACTACGGTACCCGTAGCTAGGTGAGTAAAATCCAATTTATATAAATCGACCGATACACGAAAACCTTTTTGCTTCTTTATTGATTGAGGGTTGAAATCTCATTTGTCTAACTTATAGAAGCTACAATAGCTCGTACAATAGCCTTCAGATCAGTTGACTGAATGAGTGAAGAATTTTTATTAAGTAGTTAAAAATCAAAAATTATCTAATTTCTTAATTGCACCAGTCAACTGAATTGGGGTTGATCGATCCTAAATGAACCATCCCTAACAATGACGGGAATGGAATAATCATTTGCTGCAAGTTATTAAATTTAAAGGAAACTATTTTTACAGTATTGATATTCCAAGTGGATGGGATGTGGAGAATGGAGAACCTCCTGAAGGTGGAGTCAAACCAGAGTTACTTATATCTTTAACAGCACCGAAGCTGTGTGCAAATAAGTTTAATGGGAAATACCATTATTTAGGAGGACGGTTTGTTCCGCCGTCACTTGAGAGTAAATATAATCTTTCGTTACCTAAGTATCCAGGAACAGAATGTTGCATTTTATTAAATTCTAGCTTATAGATTATTCAGATTTATGCTGCCAGATAGGCGATGATGCAATTGTTTATGGGTAGGGTTGCCATCCGTCCGGGTTTCCCCGGATTTGTCCTAGTTTAGGGGGCGTCCGGGGAGCGTCCGGGCGGGGTTTAATTGGTAGTCCGGGTTTTAAGCTACTATATCTATGAGTTTCTGTCAAAACAAGATAAACTTTTAAGGCGCCAATCAGCTTTGGTTGCAATTTTTTAAAACGCCGAATCCTCATTAAACTTGGAGTTATTGAAAATTGTCTGGTGCTTTTTTTGCATTCCTGCTCATAATACCAACGTTGAAAGAATATTTTCACTAGTGGCATAACAGTGGACCAAAGAAAGGAATTCTTCCAATACCTACATTGTTTTCTTGAATTTAATCCCTAATTTTTGTACATTAACAGGTAATTTTAATCCCTAGAGATTAATAAAGTTTTAATCCCTCATTTTTGTTTTCTTGTAAGCAATTCATGGAAAAATGGATTTAAATCGATCGGTATTGGAAAAAAATAGTATAAGCAACACTGGATTAAACTAGTTTTTGTTCCCTTAAAAATATTTAAAAAATATTAAATTTAAACCATTCTCTCAGGAACAAAAACTCTTTTTTCTCCAACCACCTGAATAAGACGCTATTTTGTGACAGTGTTCGGTACGTAAAATTGACGTTTTGCGGATTAATCGCTTTCACCATGGCAACTGTACAAAAAGTAGATACTTTTGGTCCTAGTACCAAAAAGAAATTGACCTTGAAAGTTGGCCAATTAAAAATTACAATCACGGAGATATGTCACATTGACATCGTTTTACATTGCAGGTTGTAAGATATTTCTATACATACAAATCAAATATTTTTGCATATTCAATGCAAATGCTGTTACCTATACGTATTGTACATGTATTGAAAATGATTTACGCTCGCTATTTTTATTTAAACCATGTGTAACGTAATTTACATATTCGGTGAACGTAATTTTAATACTAATACAACCCGCCGTCGCGCGTAACGCCATCTACTTCGGACCCATTGCACTATTATCTGTCATTTTGAATTCAAAATTTGAAAAAGTTAATTGCAATTAATTTTAATTAAAAAACTGTATGGTAAGTTTTTTATTTCAATACAAAATATAACAATATTAATTGTGTATACAATAAAATGACTGAAACTGATAGCGACATGGATTGCACTCCGCCAGAGATTATAGAAACGGCAGAACATGCTACCTCAAGATTTGCTCCCAACAAAGTCGCGAGAGGTGAGAAGTAAGAAGTAAGAACGAATAGGTTATAAGTTAACCTAAAAACTAGAGTGGCATGACACGTGAGGACAAGAAAGCAGAAGTTCTTATACTAGTAGTGAAACTGTGACTGAATCTAAATTCGAATATAATTTGAAGTAAAAGGGGTTGGAGAAAAAATTTTATGTTTTATTCGTACAAAAAATGCGTTTTCGGGACTCGGAAGGTTGCTGGACTCCGCTAACGCGTCGTCCAGCAACTATCTTCCTCGTCCCGAAAACTGACATTTTTTGTACTAATGAAACAAATAACTATTTAATCCCTTGTTCCTTTTTACTATTATTGAATTTGAAACATTCTAGTCAGTGATAAAAATAAAGTAGAATTTCGAAGACTATTTCTTCAGACAATATTTTTTCTAAAATTCAGTTGATATGTCCGAGTTTATAATCCCTAAATCCGGGGTTTTCACGCTTCCTGTCCTAGTTGGCAGAGTTTTGAGATGGCAACCCTATTTATGGGAAGACTACTTATAGAATTATACCATACTATTTTAATTAAATAAACCACATATGTTACTAATTAAACATGTACTTTTTTCCTTATCTACCCATCGCCATTAGGTTGAAGTTGCTCCTGGAAGTTGGACCAATTGTGTCAATTTGCAATGTATGTTAGTTTTTAGTTGCGCCATTGACTAATACCATAAGCATTGATTATACACACCATGTATAATCATAAGGAAACGCAAGAGTTGCAAACAAATACGATAAACTGGCATTGCTAATTTCGGTCAGGATATGCTGTCATTAAATAACCGTAAAAATAGAAAATCATACGTTCATTAGCGTCCCCTTGTTCTGAGATGGCGCTATTTAGTCGGGGAGCGCCTAGAACGCGCCGCCGGAGTGGTAGCTAGGGATCAAACAAGCCTTTAGATTTTTGTACAATTTTTAAAAACCGTTTGTTGTATCAGCCTAATTCTTTTTTTATATTAATCAGCACGGACCAGAACAGGAGGTAACGAATTTTCATCGATATACATTAGCTACAAATAGGTTAATTAAATTTTTGAAAATGAGCAATTTTAATTTTTTATGAAATCAAATCTCCATGAATTTCGTTATTGCCTTCTTCCTTCGGGTCATTACATAGATAACGCTTAAGTTTCTAGTCATTTTATGGTCACTTAAGGCTGGACAGTACATACAGAACGGAGTATGTAAAGTTGCCTATTGTCAATCCCCAAATTTGGTTATTTATAATATTAATTTGTGTTCGATGGTAAAAACATAAACTTAGTCCATTTTCTATCTGTATAAAACCAGCCACGCGGCGGAAGCTATCTTTTCGCGCTTTTGAGGAAAACTTTTAAGTTGTTTTTCCAAGATAACTTATCTATAAATGAAGTTGGAACAATTTCCAAAATTAAGATACGTTCGTAAACTTAATATCTAGGCAATAACGCCAGGAAAATTTATTTCTTTTTTTCTTTTCCAAAATATGACACCCTAACAGCCCTCGACGTTGCCCTTAAAAAAAGCTTATTTTAAAGCATTTTAGTAAACCCCGGCGTTATTGTCTAGCTAAAGCATTCACCTTTCACAGGAATATTCGACCCCTTCTTCATCTTCACTCAGAATTAAGATATCGTGGAACGAAATCAAGTATTTTCGGGCAACGGAACGGGTGTACTGTCCAGCCTTAAAGGAAATTTTTACTAAAATTCTTCATTACCTATAGCATAGGCAACATACTACAGACGGTCAATGCAATTGTATAGAAATAAACGCAACACCTAATAGTGTACGGTTAGTGTGTTGTCTACCTTGAAGCAGTCGAAATAAATTGTGGTAAAATGTGGTAGACGCACAGAAAACTGTTGTGTGTGGTAAAAGTGTGTAATAGATGGAGTCATTTTTGTAAAATTAAAATACATATTGTTGTGTTATTTTGTTTTAGTTGTAACTTGAAAGAAATTATAGAGCGTCTGGATGTGACAATTTTGTTTAGTTCAAGTAATTAACCGGGGGGGTTATTAATAATTTGAGACACAGGATTGCGTAAATTTCATGTTATAGTTTTGGTTCAATTTCTTAGAAGTGTTCTGTTTTTATTTTATTCCTAGAATTTTTTTTCGATGTAAATTTTTTTTTTAAATTTTATTTGCCGTTAACGAGGTATAGCGCGAAGTAGAGATAAGGTTCTTCGCAGAATTGCCGGGCGTACGTGCCGTTTAGCAAGAAGTTGAAAAATCGACGCTTCGCGTGATTGGCGGACGGGATGTTGAAGAAAGGAGAAGGGCTTTTGGCTTAAATAGGAAATTTTTGAAGAGAGCGGGGCTTTTTGGTCGTGACAAAGCCAACCGGCGCTTCTTCGGTTACGTTATTTTTTGAATTTTGTGGAAGTTTCTTGCGTAGTGGATCCAGGTTTAATTAGAATTTTTGTCTGCCGTTTAAGAAGAATTTTTGAGAAGTTTAAGAAGTTTGTCGTCGTCCTGTTTTTTTTTTTTATTTTGCGGAAACACGGAAGTTTTGAATTTGTGGGTACCCGAAGAGAGAAGACGTCGGTGTTTGAGTGGTTGGTTTACGTGATTGTGTACGGATACCTCTTTTTATCGGAATACGTTATTTCGGACTAATTTTAAAAGTAAGTAGTAGTTAGTGGTTTGTTTTGTCTTGTTTTTTTTGTAATGTTTGAGTAATTTGCTTTTTTTTGTGTGTGTCATTTTTTTGTTTAAAATTGTAACAATTTGTAAAACAGAAATTTACGCAATTTTTTGTTTGAAATTAAACCAGTCATTGCAATCCAGGTTTTGTTTATTAGAGTCAAGGAGAGGTAATTGTCGGCGTCTCTTACTTTGTTTCAAGTTGATTAAATCTGGGGGTAAAGTTTCATATTGGAATTTAAGGATTTGGTTAAGCCACCTATTTATGTCATTGTTGGAATGCTGTAGGGTGGCAGAATCCAGCTGGACCTTGAGATGCGGATAAAAATTTTGTTTTCATTTTAAATTACAACTGAGCTAGCTAGAGGGAAATCGTGGGATTCCCAGAAGTGTAGGTTAGGTCTCACAACAATATACTCAAACCATTGAATAAAAAAATTTTTTATTCAATGCTCAAACCTTATTTCCTCGGCTTCAACGCCGGCCTTTACTTAGATAAGATAAGTGCTCACTTGTATAACATCATAAATTACATGAAATAGGATACATTTTAATTCTTCATTTTTCTCTTTTCTAAACATTTAAAAAATTGATGGAGCGGGTTGGTTATACAAGGGCGGGAAACTAAATTTGCCCTCCACATATAAAATTATGAGGTTGGACAAGAAAAGATTTTATTAGAATAATAAACAATTTTTGTTTTTCCATAATAAATATACTATTATACCGGGTGGTGACTTGAACAACGCACCATAGGAATTGCAATAGTAATTTTTTCATTTCTGATTATTGACTTCTCTAATTATTTTAGAGAGAAAGTCTATTTAGGTTTTCTGTAGAGAAAAAAATTACGAATCCATGCATACTATAGCTTTTAATTTTCTGAACTTTGAATCCAAGAAATTGGATAATTAAAAACTGGCGCTTTTAAGAAAATCAGTGGTGCCATGGCAATTTGAGATCAAACATGGCAAATGCAGGCGCTTTTGTTTGATTTCCTAACTCCATGAAATTACCGACTTTACAAACGCGACAGTTTTTAATTTTTAAATTTTTACTGATTCTGAGTTTATAAAATACGAAACAAGAGTATGTACGGATTCGTTTATATAATTCGAGGTAAATCTTTCACTCACGCCTTTGACGCTCCCGACTAAGGCGACGACGGGCGACTTCAGCGCCCCCCAGACTTGGCGTCCAGGGCCTGGGCCCCCCTCCCCCTCGCCCCTCCCCCTCGCACGGCCTTGCCTACCTTACCTATATGTATCTGTGATGATACCCCATCACAAAATTTTTTGATTAGGGGAGGGCCGAGGGAGCACTTAACGAACTTTATTTTATGTCAATGTGTAGGGTCAACATAGTCCAGTCAAATTAGCTCCAAAAGTATTCTAAACTGGATGTTGGCATTTCACACAACAAAACCAAGTGTATTCTATGTAGTTCCCTGCCCGGAAGTTCTCGGAACATATTGCTATACACAAAAAAACCAAGAAAAAATGGAAAAATGCAGTTATCTCGTCAACTATTGCTCGAGCTCATAGAAATGAATTTGTTTAGAATCGAATTTTCAGTTGGTACAGAACCGTTCATTTTTAAATGTTATTGTTTTTTCTGGAAAAATACAAAAAAAAGTAATCCCAAAAATTAACATTTGTTTTTGTTGATACGCCCTTCTCGATGCTTTGTCTTTCAAACTGGATGACTCCCAGAGCGTTTTCAATATTTTTATGGATGGTGGAACCGTAAAACAACCTATTCCAACAATTGTCTGTTGTCCCGATGAGTTTTGCAAATCGACGGACTGTGGAATTAGTTTAGTGGAAACCCCAGAAATAGACCAAGAAAGTAACTTTATAATAGGTCCTTGGCACTCTGTTTAATAAAAATCATACCAACTGTACCTATCTGATAGAAAAATCGATTCTAAACAAATCGTTCTCTTCATTTTTTCCGTAAGAGGAATAGTTAACGAGATACCTAATGAAGTCAAATGCAAAAAAACGATATTTTCCCATTTTTTCTTCGTTTTCTTCTGTATAGCAATATGTTCCCGGAGTTTCCGGTCAGCTAGACTGCCATTTACAGATTCAGGGGATTTTTTGCATACAATACACATGGTTTCGTTGAGTGAAGTGACAACACACTAAACCGGCAGACAGTAATAGATACAAAGCTATAAACCATCTCGAGGATCGCTATTAAAACTTTGCTTTGTGACAATTTTCGTAGGTAATTGCACAAGTCCATCAAAATGCTCTTTTAACAAATTATGAAAATAACCGAATGCAGTTTTTTACTGATAAGATACTTGAATAAACAAGTAAAAAGGTTTTCGCCCTATAGGCAAGTAACTGCGGCGCATTTTCCATAAATTGATCAATACTTCCCCAAAGGCCATACCTATGTGCGCTAAGTTTTTCATTACTACACGCATATATGGTTAAAATTTTAAAGAAATATCTTCATAAATAAAGAAGTTGACACTTACTGCGCTTATTAATCTGATATTTACAATATGCAATACGTTTGATTTTATTATAAGTATCTTTGGTTAAAATTTCAAAGAAATATCTCCATAAATAAGAAAGTTTGCATTGCGCAGTCTGCGCATGCGCACATCTGATTTTGACTATATGCGATATGTTTGCCTTTACTACAAGTATCTGTGATTAAAATTTCAACAAAATATATTAATAAATAAAAAAGTTAACATTGCGCAGCCTGCGCATGCGCAGTTCAATCGTCAATATTTTCTTTGACTCAGGTGCCAGAGCGATACGCTACCGAATGCAAAAAGAACGAACTAAATATCTTGAAAACTGTAGGAGTAGTTAAGGCCTCGGACAGACGGACGGACAGAGAAAGTGGCTGCAATAGCGCACGCAACTTCGTTGGAAAATGCGCTAAAAATTATCAGATTTATTTTGATGCACGAGTGTAATTCCCGAATAAACATTACACTCACCTTACCTACTTATAAAATTGTTAAGTGTATTCCCATGCAGGTGCAATTATCGCAGGGCTCTTTCGTTTTCTGCAATGCAATTACCGCTGTAATTGACCGATAATTGCACACCTCATATGGGATTTATTACATATGAGGCAAATATTCATACGAAAATTTGCTTACGTTTAGGTTTTCTTTATCCAAGTAAAATGAAGTTAAATTGCTGATTGCAAGATTTATTCCACAAACGGAGAGACAAGTAGGTATATAAATATAAACAAACACGGAGATTACACTTTTTTCGAGAATTCGAAAAGTGGTGCAAGTTATATCGTTTCTTATGCACCCAAAGACAACGAGTAAAGCGGGGTTCCCATTTGTGCATTTCGATGCCGCATTTTATGATGCCGCATCAAACTGCATGCATCTTTTGTATTCACACTACATTTTTATTGCAGCAATTTTACTTGCGCATGGAAATGCACGATTTAGAGCATGTTCTATTTTCTGACGCATTTTTAGTAACTTTCTAGAGTCTTTCGTTTTATATATTGGCGCTATTTCAATTTTTGTTGGTATTTATGATTATGTGCGTTTGAATTATACTTCATGTTTACTTTTGTGTGTATGTTTCAAACCTAGAGAAGGAAGTCTTAAGTTTAAGTTGGTGTATTTTTTGTTTGTTACTTTTTGAATTTATTAAAAGCGTTCGTTAGTTACTATGACCAGCACATAAAAATAAAAAAAGATTGGTAGCAGTGTAGTTGCATGAATAACTTGCACAAATGTAGACATGAATGCCTTTTTAGTTGCGCATCAAAAAATGCGTCATGAAAATGCAGCAACAAAAATTGCAGCATCGAAATGCACGAATGGGAACCCCGCTTAATACGTAATTGCGAATATGAAGTGATATTTGCTTTGTATGTGTACCTGCAAAGATTATCAGCACTTCGCCCAGATGTAAATATGGGGATTTCTTGCGAGAGGGGGACAGCTTTCTAATAATAAAGTATCAATACTTCTTTCCCTAGACAATTTGCAAAACCATTCCAAAATAAGAAATCTGTAGAAGAACCAACACATTGTTGTATGCGCTAATAGATGGAGCAAAATAGAGGGATAGCAGGTTTTTAAATAAGGGGACATTTGAAACAAAACTTGGCGTGCTTTTTCCCCTTAAAGGTTGATTCTCACTATACATAACGTTTCCATACCATATCCTTTCCATAACCATTCCGTAAATTATTATATCTATGAAATTGACCTTTAAGTGATATGTGCGTAAGACATTCAGCCGCGCGCTAATACACATTCTCCTTTCCGTTCACATATGGAAGGCGAATGTGTATTAGCGCGCGACTGAATGTCTTACGCACATATCACTTAAAGGTCAATTTCGTAGCTTATAATAATTTACGGAATGGTTATGGAATGGATATGGTATGGAAACGTTATGTATAGTGAGAATCAGCCTTAAGATTGACCGTCTGTAGTATATGTTGTCTGTGCCTATAGTGTCCCTAGAGGTGTTTCGCACTATATTTACATCGAAAGCTAAACGTTAGTTCAGCGGTTCGTCTATAGATGGCGCAGAAACATATACAGGACCACGGTACTCGGCAGTCACTATCTCGAATATACCGCTCTCGTTCGTTCATAAGGCAAAAAGAACTCGCGACCCTGTAGGAGGTCAGAGTAAATGTATAGATTTTGGTTTTTTCAGTAGGCAGGGACGAACGGGGCGGTTTCTTAAAGGGGGGAATGCTTTTCTAACTTTCGAAATTCAAATGCTTAGACTATTGGTATTCTTTTGAATTACGCCAAATAGAATTTTGCACCCACACTGTACACTGTAGGTACCTTGTAGCGCCTTGCGATATGTTGCCCTTAGAGGCCTTAGATCATACATTATACCGGGTGGTGCCTAGGGCAACGCAGCATAGGGATTTCAATGGTAATTTCTTTATAGCCAATTTTTTTTTTGGACAGGTGGGAAAATGCATTACGCACACTCCGGCTGGGAACCCGGAATAGTGTGGGACTCCCCTATAACCCCACCTGAGGCGTCGGCTACTGCGGCCATTAGCCTATAGTTTGCAGAAAACTAATTTTTAAATTGAACTTTATAGTAAATATGCACAACAAACAATTAAACCAGATCACATCAATATACAAAACAACCATAATATAGATATTAAAATTTTAACAAGACATTCAATATTATTACTATCCTCACCATTACCACCATTTTCATTATTTTTATTTTTGACGATCATCTATAGTTTATCAAGCATTCCAATGCACCGCAGGTAGGTAATTGTCCTCTCACACTCTTCCCTTCCCTTAAAATTTTCGGCCCAGTTCCTGTTAATCTTAAAGGTGGCACGCTGAACATCAAACTTCACGCAAGTACAGAGTATATGTTCCACCGTCAATGCTACATTACATCTCTCACATACTGGAGCATTCTCACCTTTCAGCAAGTATCCATGTGTGAGAGCAGTGTGCCCTATCCTCAGCCTGTATAGTTTGGTATGGTTATATCGTCCCACCTTCATGTGGAACAGCGGACCTGGGCTTGGTTTGACCCTTCTAAGCCTAGTTTCCGTCTCCGTCCACGCTTCCCTCCATTTCTCCATCAACTGACTCATCACAATCGACCGTCTTGATCTTTTCGTCGAGTCTGCGAAATCAGTCTCGCCCAATCCCAGTTCATCCAATACCTATACCTCTCCAGATCGTATGCCTAACGGTCTACATGCTCTTAATCGCGCAGTTCTTGTTCTATCTGTAAGTATTTGGTGGTTTGGATGGTTTTCCTGCAGCGATATGTTCAGACAATACTGAGTGATGATCTGCTTTCTTCGCAGAGCCAGCGGGTGAACGTTTGCCTCGACGTGGAGGGAGGGCATCAGTCGGACTTGTTGGAAAAGCTCCAAGTGAGTATCGAATCGCGAGATTCTGAACTTCATCAAGTTCCTTGAGCTGAGTTTTACTACAGGTGGAGTGGACGTTACAGCCGTAGTCGAGCTTTGAAAGTATCAGAGCCTTATAAACGTCAAGAAGCGTTTTTGGATCGGCTCCCCACTTGTGATGTGCGAGTACTCTGATAATGTTTAACAATTTTCGACAAGACGTTACCAGCCCTTCGACATGTCGTTTCCACCTCAGCTCGCTATCGAAAACCAGACCTAAAAATCTGACCTCCTGGGGCACAACTATCATTCGGCCATTCAGGTATAGTACAGGATCGTAGTGTGGCCTGCGAAGCCGACAAAAATGTAATGCCTTAGTTTTTTCTTCTGACAGCTCGAAACCCACTTCCTTCGTGTTCGTAGATATGGAGTCGATCGCGTCTTGGAGTTTGCGCGTCGCACCACCGACAGTTTCATTCGCGCAAGCTATCATTAGGTCGTCCACGTACAGGCGTTTATCGATCTCGTGCGTGACACCTCGTGTAATCTCGTTTATCGCTATTGCGAAAAGCGAACAATTCAACGTCGAACCCTGCGGGACACCGTTCTCCAAGACGCGTTCTTTGGAGTAAACGTCGCCAATCCTAACGGTAAAACTTCGTCCCTCGAGGAACGACCGGACAAATTTGGGTAAGTTTCCACGTAGATCGTATTTGTGCATCTTTTCTATAATTCCGTGTCGCCAGGTCATGTCGTACGCGCCTCTAATGTCGAAGAGAGTTGCTACCAGGTGTTTGCGCTCGTCGAATGCCCGCAGGATATTATCGCCGAGCCCGACAAGATGGTCAGTCGTCGATCGCTCCTTGCGAAACCCGGCCTGATATGGTACCAGCACTCCGCTACTCTCCAAGTAAAACTGGAGTCGCACGTTAACCATTTTTTCGAGCAGCTTTCCCAAACACGACGTCAGGCTGATTGGGCGGTAGTTCTTCGAGAAGAGTGGGTCCTTTCCCGGCTTCGGAATCGGGACCACAATGGCCTTTTTCCATTCCCGGGGGTAAGTATGTGTTTGCCAGCAAACGTTATAATATTTTAATATGATCCTTTTCAGGTCATCGGTGCAATGACGAAGCATCTCATTGTGGATACCATCTTGCGGATTCTCCAATATCGTGTCGTCAGTACCGCGAAGGAAATTGGGATGCCTGGTACGAGACGAGATCGACCAGATATGGCCCCGATCTTCCCCCATACCTCATTCGATGTAGCGTCCGGTGTGATAGTAGACACGTAACGCTGCCAAGACGTTCTTTGGGCATTGAGAATCGCTCGTCGACACTGCTCTCTTCTTTTTAAACTCGACCAAGTTTTCGTTACTAGGACGACGTTTAAATTGCCTCAAGGCCTGTTTTTTAACATTTATTTTTTGTTTTATTTCAGGTGTCCACCACGGAACCCTGCGTTTGATGACACAGGACCTCGATCTTGGGATGCATTCTTCCGCCGCTTTCAAGATGGAGTCGGTAAGTGATTTTACATTTGGGTTTCCCTCGTCGGGAGGAACGAGTTTTTCAGAGAAAGCTTTCCAATCAGCTTGCCATAGCTTGAACTTAGACACTGTCCTAATGGGAAAGTTTCCACCTCCGATCGTGATAACGATTGGATAGTGGTCGCTGTTGAAAAGATCGCTCTCCACCTCCCATTTGAGGTAGGTGTGCATGGTCGGCGTGCATATAGACAAGTCGATCGAGTCGAAAGTGCCCGATCGGACGTCAAAGAAAGTCGATGCGTTCTCGTTTAAGATACTGAGATCTTTGCTTTCTAGCAGTTCCAAGAGCTCTTTACCGCGAGTGGTGAGAGTTAAAGTCTCCGACAAAAATGAACGGTGCTGGAAGCTGGTCGATAATTCTTCCTATTTCTACTACGTCATAATTTGTGTTTGGAAGATATACGTTGCAAAGCGTAAAGCTGTTGTTAAGATCGAGTTTTACAGCCACAATCTGGTAATCTGTGTCGATTCTAATTCGCTTGTATGGAGTGCCTCTCCTTATGGCAATAGCCACTCCACCGCAGGCCCTTCCTGGTGATCGAAAGTCTTTCCGTATGATCTCAAAACCGTTCATGGAAAATTTGCTTCTAGGTTTTAGGTGAGTCTCTTGGAGAGCGATGCACAGCGGTATAAAATAAATAACATTTAGTGTATATGGGGACAAATACAAATACACGACATTGAGCAACGATACTAAACAATTAAGTAAATAAATAAATACAGACATCGATCAAAAAATATCATAGGTTTTATCACAGATTCTATCACTTACTAGATGGTAACCCAGGCCCTCGGGGTTTACCCTTGGGCCACCCCTTTTTCTTTTTACCGCTTTTTGCCTCTTCTAGGCCCTTCATCTACGGACTCAATGCTTGAGGTCGCGGATGACGTCAGAGAGGGTTTGCGTTTTGCACCCCTGGATTCGGCATCCATGGGTATCGGAAGACGAAATTCTACTCCCTCGCGACAGAGATTCGTCATCTATGGGTACCGGAAGACAAAATTCTACTCTATCGTCAGCAGGCCGCGATAGAGACTGTTTCACGTGTGCGATCATCTCTGAGGTAAGTTCCTTCATTTCTTCCCTAATAATCTTTCTGATTTCAGCCACCAACTGTACCTGAGACGGGATAATGTTTTGTTGTGTCGAGCCACCATTGTGCATAGCAACATTAGCATACAAATTATTGGTCGTTACGGTACTACCAATCGTCTTGCTTCCGGGTAAGTTACCCTCCGTGTAACTTTGATTTCTTGAATTTGCAGCTCTTGTTTATAGGTACATTTCACATGACCTGGAGTTTGCAGGGTGATTTCCTTTACAGTTTATACAGCGGCGGTTTTCCACATACACATACTTGAGGACTCTGACACTTTACAGTAGTATGTCCAAATTTCTGTAACAGCGCATCGGTGGAGCATAATATAATGCTATGGGTGGAGGGATATACGGCCTCACTCTTAAAACATAGAAAGCTGCATCTATTTTCGTAGGTAATACGGTAGAATTGAACGTAAGTATAATGTTAGGAGTGTCTACAAGATTTCCACTGACTTTCCTCTTAATCCTTTTCACAGCAATCACATTTGTAGTATAGGCAACCTGACATGTATGCATGTATTGTAGTACCAGTGTACACGCAACAAATAAACCAGTCTTCCTCTAGCACTCATGCCTTACACTTCTATTATTACAACATTCTCATCCTTAAGACCGTCTAGTATTTCTTCTTCACTGCAATTTAAAAAATGACGGCAGTAAATAACACCCTTAGTCTAGAGACGTTTCATGCGGCTTGACTTTCACCATAGAACAACAAACTACTTTCACTTCAAATTCCCCAAATCGACCAATTTGCATCAGTCTCCTTGACTGTTTGTTACTCACCAATTATTAGTTCCCCTAATTATTTCAGAGCAAAAGTCTAAATACGTTTTTTTAGAGAAAAAAATACTGCATCTGTTCATACGATTACTTATAATTTTCTGTTTTTCAAACCCGTAGAAAACCACAAAATAAAAAATTACATTTGTATAAATCAGTGATGCTTTGGAATCTTTTAATAAACTACAAGCGCATCGCATCTAAGTTATCGTTGTTTGACGTCGAACAATTTTCATATTTAATTCTGTTACAACTATCCGACGCGACGCAAGAAACAGCGTCTATGAGGTATTGAGGTAATGTTTTTTTTAGAGATTGTAATGCTGCATCTGCATCAGATACTATTTTGTATTATTTTCCGGAACCAGAGTACATAATCGAAGAAAAAGAAATTGATTTGAGGAAGAATTGCTCTTAAACATATATTCGGATTTTCCGCTGCTGCAGCCGAAGCCTGAAACGATGAATATATATTGTCGTTTTCCTTATGGTTTTGACGGACATTTTGAACATTATTGCACTTGCAGGGATTTAACACTGTTCCTGTTCTTTGAAACTTGCTCACCATTCTGTCTACTGTGGTACTGCTTGAAATCGTTATTACTTGGCGGGCATAAAACAACTTTAACATTATTCCTCTTTCTCTTCAGTTAAATACATGATAAACATTTTGATGATTAACTAATTTATAAAAAGTATAAATTTAGTATACATCAAAGGCAAATAATGAAAAGTTATCGCTGTTTTTTTAGTTAATTCCAAGGCATATCTGATTTATTGTAAAATGAACCTTTTTATTTTGTCGATTTCTACGGTTTTGAAAAACGGAAAATTATGAGCAATAGTATGAACAGATGCAGTATTTTTTTCTCCGAAAAAATCCTGTTTAGACTTTTGCTCTAAAATAATTAGGGGAGCTAGTAATTGACTATAAAGGAATTACCATTGAAATCCTTATGCTGCGTCGCGCTAGGCACCACCCTGTATACTCAGCATTATATGATGCTACATTGCTACGAGTAAAATATGTATAAGATCTGGCTTCATTTTCCGAAAACAAAAACTTACTAAATCATGAGCGGTAAATTCGAATACAGTAGAAACACGCAAAATCCAAGACTGAGACTGGGTCATTGTAAAACGTAATGGCTTTACTATCTATGCAGTAAGTCGGCATTGCTGTTTAATCCTTCATTTGTTTCTCAACGAGATATGTGAAATGTAATAAGTTCGCAATGAGAGCAATCAAAGAGTGAGCAATTAATTTATGATATTACATCCTACTGCATGCGATATATAGTATGAAAATAACCTTCTTGTGTTTGACAATTTACTTAGTATGGCATGTTCCATTAATTACTTTTCTTGCCCTTAGAAATTTACCAAGTCGGTTCCATATTATGCCAATGGCCGAAAAAACAAACGCCACATTTATTTCTAAAGTATTTTAAGGTTTGGATTTAGAGAGTATAGGCAACTGGTGATGCACATGTAATTCAATGGGGCGTGCATTGCCTCTGAACTTCATTCACCATTCCATAAGCAAGGGGTGTATATGATCGGAAAAATATGCATTAGGTAGATAGATGTACAGAGCATAGTTTCCATACAATATAAACTGATATTTTGTCCATTAATATATGTTTAAAAAATCCAGAAAACATGCGTCAAAAGAGTTCATAGTTTAGGAATTAATTGCAAAAATTAGGGAGCATTTTAAGCAATACGAGTGTATGGGATCGGTAGCGTGAATACTTATCTATATTTTGGCAATTCATGTGAAGCTCAAAAGTTTTCATAAAAAAAGTGGTGAATGAAGTTCTGAAAAATGGGCATGTAAACTGGAGAAATGGAAATAAACTACGCAGCTGTGACTAATATCGCGGTCAACAGTGTAGCTTCTTTCTCACAGAGGGTGCCACCAAGAGTTTTATGAAATCAGTAAAAAATACGATAAAGATATGAAATAGGTAAGCGCTTTTATCTTGCGATGGAGTTGTTCTTACTTTTTAACTAGGCTATTACTAGTACTGTGTAATGGGGATAATAAAAGACCAAAAATTTACGAGCAAAAAAAAACTAGCAGGCTATGTAAGTTGCCTATGCTAAATCATTTAGCGATTCTCTTTCAAGGTTGAACGAGCGTGCGTGTAATAGAATTTGCTGACAGCAAGAAAAAGATCGTTCACTGGTTATTTTTATTTTGTCAACTACTTGCTTCGAAATTTATTTGGTTTCTCTTTCCTATTCATTGCAAAAGGTACCTCCTCTACCTATCGTTTTATGAAATAAATAATAGAAATGGGGATAGGTAACATTCCTTTACAACAAATATCAAAATTTTACGTAATTTTTAGAACAAAGGGCTGTTGTATATTGTTGTTGATGTCTGGCAAGATGCGACCTTGTGTGGGTGTTTATTTGTAATGCGATTTGTTTGACCGTCTTCCCTATTCTTTATCTTTGCTGATTGCAGATTAAAATACCGTAATTTATAATCCATACCTTGTTGCAAATTAAATTTTTTGAACTTCAATAGTTCCATTGAATAACGATCTTTATTCAATGATAGTACCTATTACATATTAGTATTAGTTTAGTCAGTTTAGTGTAATGTGTAATAATTGACCCATACAGGGTGATTCAAATTCAAAGGCCACCATGGGGATCTCGGGAACTGTAAGAGATAGGTAGAGGTAGTTTACATTTGACAAAGTTACCCTAGATGGTAACATCATCTATTTTTAATAAGAAATAACGTTAATTCGTAAAAACGCAAGAAACTACTTACGTACGTTACATAAGACAAAGGCAAAAAAGGTATTTTACAAGCATTAAAAAAATTGATGTGTACATTTTTGAAATCAGAAAAAAATTCTCTATCAAATGACACAAAAAGTAAAAATTACTTCCATAAGAAACAAAGTTGATGAAGTTAACCGGAGACGAAACGTCAAACTTCAAATTTAAAAGTAGCATCTTGTAGAGGGAAAAAAGGGGCCATAATAATGTGTCATTTATTATTAAATATCTTTGTAAACAACTATTAACTTCAGTAAAAAACTAATTTACAAAAGACCATCCCTCGAATGTAAGACATGGGGAACAAATGTATATTTAGGTATAAACGGCAAAAAAATTTTAAAAAAATTGTTATACCGTATGTCCCCGG